CTGTGATTTTCTGGGGCCAATGCCCCGTGCTTGTCAGCAATCTCTGAGGAGAGTTTGTAACTGTGGCTTTCAGGCCAGCCTGGAGGGGCAGGAGTTACATGGAACAGAGGCATTTGGGGCCTTCTGGATTTCTGGCCCCCACACCCACCACCACCATGTGCGGAGCCGCTGCATGGACCAGCCCGGATGATGTGGTACAGGCCTTGTCTTAATTTTATTTTCCTACCTGCTGTCAATGCACAAAAGGCAGCAGAAGTACGGAACAGAAAGCGTTAGTCTCTGGTTTATGCTCTAGAGCTGAGTCGTCCAGCACGGTAGCCTCCAGTATGTGTGGCTACTGAGCACTTGAAATGCGGCTGCGGCAACTGAAGTGTGCTGGAAGTGTAAAGTGCACACTGGATTTTGAACACTCAGTACAAAAAATAAAATGTAAAATATCTCATTAATAAGTGTACATTAATTATATTTTGAAATAATATTTTGGACATATTGAGTTAAATAAAATGCATTATTGAAATTAATTTTACCTACTTACTTTTTTTTTTTGTGAGGAAGATCAGCCCTGAGCTAACATCCATGCCAATCCTCCTCTTTTTGCTGAGGAAGACCAGCTCTGAGCTAACATCTATTGCCAATCCTCCTCCTTTTTTTTCCCCCCCAAAGCCCCAATAGATATTTGTACGTCATAGTTGCACATCCTTCTAGTTGCTGTATGTGGGGCGTGGCCTCAGCGTGGCCGGAGAAGCGGTGCATGGGTGCGCGCCCGGGATCCGAACCCAGGCCGCCAGTAGCGGAGCGCGTGCACTTAACCGCTAAGCCACGGGGCCGGCCCATCTACTTACTTTTTCAAGTGTGGCTACTAAAAAATTTAAAATACACGTGATTCACATTATATTCCTACTAGATGATGCAGCTCTCAAGGCTTTACAGAATAGTTCAAAGAAAGCTGCATTTACTCTCACCTAAAGTGTTCATAGGAACGTGCTTTTCTTCCTATTTATGTGAAGGAAGTGTAAACTTCATAAAGCCATGGAAAAATACAAAGTATTTTGTCTTCAAAATACAAAAATAAACATCTTCCTTCTAAATGATGTGTACTTTATCTTACAAAGAATAAAAGTCAGTCCAAGTGAGTGGAAAACTCCAGACAAGCTGCTGTGACCGAGGCAAGCATATCACAGCAGAAGTTTAACCCCATAAGAGAGTCATAAGAGACCCATGGTCTATCAAGGTGTGAAAACTTCCCCAGACCCAGGCATGAGGTGCAGGCTGCAGGTGGCAGCATTTCCTGGGGAGGGTTGAAGGATGAGAAGTGCCCAGCACGAGACTTTATTTTTAAGGACTGGGAGGTCAGATGCACAAAAGCTCAGAGTCCTGGCTGGCACCCGTGTGCTTAGGTCTCTGATCTGTCGGCCTGAATGTCAAGGGCACATTGGCTCCTGGGCGGCTGCACCTGGCATGCCAGACGCACACCGTGCTGGGGAAGGCTGCCAGCTCCCATGCTGCTTTCATCTGGATAAATCAAGCTTTTCCAAACAGCACCCTTTCCCTGAATTTCCACACCGCTGCATGCCAAGCCCTCAGGAAAGGTGACTCCTCTCCTGTTTGCAGATTCAGCAGACAGAACAACACTGTGACGTTTGCAGCACATGAGCTTCATTACTGACACTGCCCGAGAGACCCTTCTGAGTGCGATTACCATTCTGGATAAAGAACTGTTTACAGGTCACATATGCACAGCTAATGCCTCACACAGACTCTGCAGAGCGCTGTCAGGTCCTTAACTTTGTTTGTTTCAATAATCCGATGAAATATCTTGTATAATCCTCTCCCCTTGACTGCGGGGCAGGACCTGTGAATCCGATGAGATGTCACTCCCATGAGTAGATTACATTATATGGCAAAGGTGAGGGGATTTTACTGATGTAATTAAGGTCTCCATTCACCTGGCTTTGAGTTAATCAGAAGGGAGATTATCCCGGATGAGCCTGACCTAATCAGGTGAGTCCTTTAAAAGAGAGTCTAGAGGTCAGAGACTGAAGTCAAAGAGACTCAAAGTAGCACAGAAGCTCTCCTATTGGGCATAAAGAAGCAAACTGCCGTGTTGTGGAGAGGGCCAAATGGCAGGGGACGGCAGGACGCCTCTAGGAGCTGAGGGCCTCAGTTCTATAAGTACAAAGAATGGAACTCTGCCAAACAACCAGTAAACTTGGAGGAGGGCCCCTGCTTTCTGATGAGACCACAGCCTTGGCCGACAACTCGAGTTCAGCCTGGTGAACCCTGAGCAGAGAACCCAGTGAGCCACGTCCAGACTTCTGACCTACAGAAACTGTGCGATAACAAACAGGTGTCGTTTTAAGCCTCTACGTTTGTGGCAATATGTTACACAGCAATAGAAAACGAATACAGGAAATATAGGACCATGTTACAGAAATACCTATTGCTAACAGAACTCCAAAATTCCAACCAAGCCGCACACAAATGTTTAGAATAGGCATTTGTTTATTTGTTTCCCAGACAGTTAGCTCCTAAAAGCTTGACTTCAAGGACCCCTGTTTAAACCCTCTGTAAGCCTCTGAGCTCCACACGCTGAGTGGGAGTGGAGATGGTGTGAGGAAAGATATCAGCTCTGTCAAGCCAACCGAGCTCAGCTGTGAGCTTCTGGCATTGTCCCCTTCCCCACGCCTGGAAAATGGAAGGGCTCATTCACTGTTTGGAGAATGGGGTTAAATTCTGATTGACATAGGGAAGCTGAAACAGCAACAGTAGCATATTGCAAAAGAGCAGACAATTTATATAAAGAAAGCTTCAGAGATCTCGTTAGATATTTTATTGTGATAAGCATGGAAAGGAAACATAGCTGCAAAAGATATGATTTACAACCCCAAGTCATAATTTTAGAAAAATAGCACCTAATTTCAAGGCTAACATCTTTGAAATGATGAGACATTATTTTCATTGACTTTTCAAAAAAAAGTAAGAAAGATACATCCACTGGAAGTCCCTCCTTTATTTTGGACACTCAGGGAATCAGGGTTCTGTTGGCCTGGGTTACTAACTATCTCTTTGTAAGGCAGAAGCCCCATTTGACATCACCATCACATGTCACAAATAAAATGCATTCCACCCACATGGCATTTCTATGAACACACTCATTGCCTTTTGTCTTCTCAAATGGTTGTAACTTTCTGTGCCACTCAGCTCAGAGTAACCTCCCTCCCTTCTGCACTGTAATCTTTCTCATCTCCCTGTAACTTCTTTTTAAGCTTCAACATGGGCCTCTCTGAAGTTCTCTACATAAACCATAAGAGGCTATGACTTCCCACAGCGTTTCTTAATTTCTGGCCTTAGCAACCTACATCCTGAAAACCCCATAGACCTTTGTTTACCTCTTTCTCCATGTAAACAATAAGAAATAGGGAGGGGGATGGCAGAGGCATGACTCATTCAAGAGATGATGTGTTACACTGGGCTTAGACTATTCCTGGACAATATTTCTGTAGTTTATATTAATTGCTCATTTGTGGATGCTCCAACCTCTGAAGGATTAGCACAGATCCGTCTGCAAGAAACTGACTTAAAAGAAGATCCCTTAATGCAAGAAAGTTCTGGCCCACGGAACTAACTTGACACACTGAGAGATGTCAGGAACGTGGGGAAGCATTGGGCTGTTTACAAGCAAAGTAGACCACCCATCCCACTTTGCACCAACGTCAGAGCCAACATTCCTCCTTCATCCTTCTTCCCTCAGAAATCTGCTACTTGTAACCACTGCTGATTGAGAACTGGTGACCTCAGGGCCGAGCAGGGCTCCTGCTCTCATAGAATTTACAGATTCATGGACTGTTTTACAATTCTGAATTCTACTGCTTATGTTAGGATATTCTTGGCAAAGAGTAGTGGTTGAACTATGTATCTTGCAATTGGGCAGAAAACTGGCAAGTATTTCTCCAGTTTTCTGTTTTCATAGCTTTTCTGGAATTTGGACCCAGTGCTGTGTATAGTTTGAAAGGTGGGAAGTACACGCATGCCTCTGTGTGTTTGTGTGTGTGTGTGTGTGTGTGCGTGTGCTGGGGGTAAGGGAACGTGCTTCAGTTAATGCATGTGGGCAGAGGGCCAGAGCCACATCCTATGGAAGTCCGCCAGAGGTTCCTGCCATTATGGAGATTCCATTCACAACATCAAACGCAGTGATTCCCAAAGGATCCTACAGAAGTGGGTGGAAGTTCAGTGTTTCTCGTCCTGCTGTGTTTTTCAGCTCCCCCCGAGCGCTGTGCTTTCCTTGGCTGATTACATCACGATGGCCATGCTGACACCGTGCTGTAACCCACCTCAGTTCTCCCTGACACAACTCCAGGAACCAAACCTGTCAAAGCCATCCTTTCTCTGATATCTAATTGTAATTCAGTTGATCCTTCAACCTCACCTCTGGCTCTGTCTTCTCAGCACTGAGCTCTGCCCAAAGCCAATCATGCCCTGGAGAATTTTATAGCCTAACAATCATTTCCTCTGGGGACTTTAAACAATGAGCTATTCAGTTGGGATGTGACAATTTTCAGGCACATAGGAGTAGATGTCTATGTCATCTGTGAATATGTAGAAATAGAGTTCACTTACTTTAAACATTATTAGAACTTCTGTCAGTCCCACCTCTCCCGCCCCATGAAGAAAGAGAGGCAGAATTTAAATTTAAAATTAAAAATAAAAGAAAGAGATTTTAAGGAATTAAAATGTTAAAAGAAAACTCTTTTGAGCCTCAGTAAATAAATGGTTGCTGAATCTCAGCCTCTTTTGTCCTGTCCGCCTGATGGCTGGGCCCAGTTAGGTTCCCAGTCCTTATGGAAACCACACAGCGGGCCCTTCCCCAGTGGTCCCACATCTTTATTCTGTCTCACTGTCCCCTTGGGATCAGACTTTGATTTGGAATGTATGATTGCTGTGGCGACAGCACATGGTTAACTCTAATATGGATGCAATTTCAATAAATATTTGTGTTTCTATGAAATGCACACACACGAAACACACACACACAAGTCGCAAATAATCAAATTCTTGGGAAAAGCTCCACTTTTTGTTCATCAAGGTCAAGTGTCATTAGGAGCATGGACTAGCCAGCTGTAAAACTTCCATCTGGAAGATTTCTAAGTGGTTGGAATAAACACAAATTAGACTGTACAAAATTCTTAATGTATATTAATTGGTCTGGGAATTTGAAAACTGAAAGAGCTAATACACAGAGAGCTATACAACACGCCAAGGGCCGCTGCAGCCACAGTAACAACAACAACAATAATATACAGTGCTGTAAGATTATTAAAATCTATTCTATAGTGCACAGAGAAGTACCTGGTTAAAGCTGTTAAATATAATATACGACAGTTGGGGTCTGTTTTCAGTGCAATATATTACATTTGGCAATTAGTGGATATAAAAAAATAGATTTTTTGCTTTCAAAAGGTGGAATAAGCCAAAACATAAGGCTTTTCTGATAAATTATAAAAAAGTAATGGGCAGATCTGCTTGGATCTGATAAAGCATGGTTGTTATCACACTTTCTCTGCATATTCAATCCACTTAGCTCAAACCTTAACATACAAAGGTACATATGTATGTGTTTACCATCTGGAGAATTGTGTCTCCTTCCGTGCACTTCTTGTAAATATTATTACCCACTTGAAAGCATCCTGATGAAAGCATCCTGTAATTCCCTCCCTATTTTTCCCACTGCCCTTCTCTTCTCTCTTAGGTAAGAAAATACCAGGGAGATAGCGAGAGAACTTTCCTGTGGCTTACTTTCAGTTTCCATTTTTGAGCCATTTTTTAATTCTCAGTGTGGCAGTGTCTGAGTAATTGTATTAGACAATCAACATGGAAATCTTAAAGTGTGGTCCTTAATGTGTTCTTCTCTATTTTTTTCTTTTTCTTCCTGTTTCCTTCCATCCTTCTTTCCTTCCTTCCTCCCGCCCTCCCTCTCTTCCTTCCTTCCTTCTTTCCTTCCTTTCTAGAATTCACTGAAGTATTTCCTAGGTACTAGCTTTTTACTTATTATTTTAATTAAAGCTTATCTTTGTGCCCAACATGTGAAAAGTGAAAATGTCTCTTTAAAATTCTATTTTACAATATAGACAGAGAAGCTAGGCCTTGAGGAACTTAAATTTCACTTAAATACTATACACATTTGGTATCACAGAAGGGGTGGAGGGTGGGGCAGCAAAATAAAGGTAACAATTTAATTTTAGTCTGTCTTTACAAAAGAAAGCCTCTTTCCTAATGAAAAAGTCTCTTCAGCATCTGCTCCCAGAAGCCTGTGGAGAAAACATTTTATGGATGGCTTGAAAGCATCTCTTTTTCAGAGCACATTCACGGTTCCTCAAGAGGTCACCTGGGTTGGATTTTTCTGTTCTTAGTTGAGCAACGAACAAGCACTGGATGTGTTTTCCACGGACGAGCTGGTTGTTTCTGGGGTGGAAACATTGTACGTTCCTGAAAAACAGAGCAGCAGCTCAGCCTAAAAGATAAGCGTTCAGGTTAGGGTGTGAACCTCTCCAAAGGGCCTGGGGGAGCTCTCTCCAGGAGCCAGGTAAGCTCTCCCATGCCTGGACACACACCCATGCCTGCCCTCCTCCCTCCTGGGACCCAGCGGTGCCAGAGAACAAAGCTGTCCTTCTCGAGCATGCATGGCAGCTGACCAGACAAGCACTAACTACTTCCCATCACACCAGCAGCCAGATTTCTACAAAGGACAGGGAGATCTCAATGTGGGCGCCTCTCCACATGCCACCACATGCATGGGCCTGGGGACATTCACCTGAGGGGACCTCCCTGGTCCTCTTATGTTGGAGTGACTTGGGGGAGCTCTTGGGAGGGGCCTGGAGGCTGAGCTGGAAGGTGAGGTGGGGAAGGGGGAAAGGAAAAGAAAAGAGAAAATTACAGGGGAAGGAAAGGCAGGACCAGAAGAGAAGCCGAAGTTAGGGGATAGCAACAAAAGTGCCGAGAGCGAGTGCAGTGGGGAGGGCAGCCAGGGAGCAACCACACAGGCTGGTGTCAGCAGTAGGGCGGGGCTGAGCACGGGGATTGTAGGGAGCGTGTGCTGGGCAGGGGGAGGGACACAGTGCCCACCCTACCATCAGATTGGTGAACTGCCACTGCTAACAAGGTTTCCATCATTGCCTGGGGGGCACTTTGGGGCTGCTGACAACATAAACCAAAGTTACAGTGATTATGGAACCCTCGGATAGGCCAACGTGGAGCTGCATTGATGACCCTGAGAGGCTATCGAGGGGTAACGACCTGTTATCTCAGGCCCTGGGACCTCGGGGAAAGAGCCCCAACTCCAACTTCTATCTGACTGATTCAGAAACAAGGAACTCATTCTATTGGCCTTACATATTGCATAATTCTGATTCTGTAGAATCATTTTGTAGAGTTTTCCCTATTTTCACTTTAATGCAGACGGTGAACACATTCCACAGACAGTGTTGTGGAGAACTATTGCCAAGAGCAATAGTTCTAATACACCCTGAAGATTTGATCATTTCACAACAGGTCCAATCAGTGACTTTCAAAATCAAAAGTGAAGGTCCTCCAGTTTCATAAGTCATGCATCAAACTGAAGCCCCAAACACCAAGTCCTTTGGAGTTTTAACAGTTAATACACATTCTTGAAATTTGTTTTTATATGAAAAGCCTTAGTCTAGAATACTGACACATTTCTAGATTCTGCATTTGTGAGATCTGTACAGTTTCAAGAAGCTGGAAGGAATTCTGGTGCCTATTTTCCTGGCGGGAGAGGGTAGTGGCATGGGACAGGGGCTTCAACTTGCCAGAATAGCTGAGACCTATTGCCCAAAGCCATTAACACTGTTTATTTTAAACTCCCAAGGTGGGAATTTTAACTGTGCATGTTCCTAATAGAATAGTTAACTTGGGTGAGCCCTCATATATGAATGCACAGTTTTATAAATGTCAGTGTGTAAACCAAGCACACTCTAAAAAAAAAAAAAAGAAGAAAAGAAAAAAAGGAAAAGAAACCCACAGCATGAGATCCTATAGCAGGATTTTCTAAATATATTCTCTGCTGCACTGTAACCCAGAAACATGACCCACCCATTCCTATTCCACACGGATAGAAAAGAACTCTGTGTTGGGCAAGGCCAGCAATTTACAATTCCCATTTTTATGGTTGAGGCAGGTTTGACAGACAGCCCTTCAAAAGCTTGTCTAGATTCTCCAAATCTTATTCTTCGTAAGTTACGATTACCTGTCCACTGAAGGCATTTGTCCTCTGTACCAGCTTCCTGATGGTTTGGGAAAATATTAGCAATTTCCTCTATGTGACCTCTGCCCCAAATGGAGCCATTGTAGCTAAATGCTCTGAAGTGAGAATCCCCATCGGGGCAAATTTGTCCAGGTCAACCCAGGGAGCAACTAGGGTCACTACGTACCTGTTTTACCAAACAAATTGTTAAATCTTCTTGATATTGGAGAACTCATAGAAAATACAGGTGTAGATGAACCTAGGGATGTTGACTAGAAAAGAGAAGACAAGACAATTACAAAGCAAACGTGTTAGACCAAGGCCCTGTTTCTACCTGTAGGAAGATTAGTTTGCTGCCCTCTAGTGGTCACTTACTGCATCTCTCATCCCATTTCTCAAAGGCCTATGTGAACACAAATTTCTACTTCAAGCAAATCAAGCCGGAGAGCCACCCTGAAACATTGGAATCTCACCATCAGTCTTAGGAAAATAACTTTCAAATGTATGTTTCACTGTTCGATAGGGTTCTAGCATCTTCTGACATGTGGAAACAGTCAAATATATTCAAGTACAATAGTTATTTTCCAACATGAACTACAGAAAATTCTATTTATCATTATTCCTCAAATTGTGTTCTCTGTTGCCTTAGGTTTCCCCAGAAGATTGTTTCTCATTGAAATTTTATTTTGACCTCCAATCAATATTATCTGTGCTATTTGACTGCTATTTAAAGATGTGGGGACAGCATCTTAATGAGAGCTCCATGGCTGTGTTTAATAAACAAAATGAGGTGAGAGGCAAAAACGATGAAATAATCTATGCTAAAACTAGTTGTGGAGAGAGAGAGAGAGATTTGGAGAAGTCTCTACAAAGGAAAGATTTACCTTTGAATGCTGCGAAGACCATCTCGACAGTGAAAACTTATTCAGCAAGGCTTCCTGTACCTGCATTGTTTAAAAGAAGCCATTGTAAATTCAACACACCACAAGCACTTTAGACTTTTCTAGGAGCATGAAACTTGTTCTCACCTTCTGATCCCAGAGGCATCCAAAGAGTAAAATGAATAATCCCTGAAAAGGATTGGGAAGAAGTGCATTTTAATCATATTCTATTCTCTGGCAAAATAGGGAGTATTATTAACCTACTGTTGAATTTGTACTATCTCTTTGCACATCTGAGTTTATAGAATGAGTCCAGTAGATGATAATGTTAAAAGGGATGCAGTAGGAGCACACCAAGGGACCTTAAATGTTATGATGTTATAAGGATATTTCCTATTTCCCTATTATCCGCCAATGGTGAACTGGAGATCCTGTTGATTATGCGATTAAATACATCTCTTGTGCCTACAGGACTTGGGCATGGAGTGGAATAATCAGTCCCTTCTAGTCAAGGCTTATTATAAATGTCATTAGACATGAGCCTGATAGTTTGGAGCCATTGGACAAGTAGCATAAGTTAGGATTTGTGTGGTTTTGGCATGAATATCCAAGGAGGCAATGTCTCTACTTCCAGATGCCCTGCCCCTTCACCAGCTCATGGGGGCCTATGCTTACCACCCCTCCACTGGGTGAATCAGAACTAAGCATTCCCTTCCTTGTGTTCCAAAGGCTTGTTGTCTTCACCTCCGCTAAAGCCATTCTAACAATTTGGCTTGTATCATAATGAGTTGAGAGGGAAAAAGGTAATTTTTTGTTTTAGTATAATGGAGTAGAATGTCTACCTTACATAGAGCACACATTCTTTCATTCTTTAGCAAGCGTTTCCAGAGAACACACTACGTGGCACACAGCATTCATTTTATTCACCAGATGCTTATTGAGCACCTACTCTGTCTTTTTAGGTGCTAGGGATACAGTGATAAATAGGACAGATGCTATCTCTGACCTGGCAAAGACAGAGCTCATTGAATGCTTATGGAAATTAACTGGAAAAATTATTTGGCTTAATAGTGGTATTGTCATTTAGGAGATAATCGACGACATTAATATAGTCTTGGATAAATAGCAAAATCTAGTGCAGGGAAGGGACTTTCCTGCTATTTGTATATTCAGGGCATTTAGAAGAGAGTCACATATGCAACCAAATTATAATGCAGGTGATAAGAGGTATGAGGTTCCATGGGAACAAAGGAATGTGTCCTTTCTATTTCATTGAGTTCTTGTCATTAACAGTCTTTAGGGCCAGGGCCTCCTCTGGACTAAAATCCTTCCCCATTCCTACTCTTGTTTGTGTTTCTATCATTAATTTGTCCCATCAGCCTAGACATTTCCTAAGAGTCCTGCACTGCAGAACTTACCTGGAAAGCATTGAGGAGGGTAAATACGATATGGAACACAGCATTGCTCCCCGGGAACACAGTGGCAAGACCAAAACCCCAGGTGAGCCCCAAGAGTGGTGTGAGGACCCCAATGCTCTTGCTGATCTGAAAGATGCTGCTTTTCTCCTGCTTGCTTGGCTTGTCTCCAATGGAAGGTCTCAGGATCTTGGTGATGACCACCACCGTGATGGTCACGTTCACCACCACGATGATTAGTGCTGGGATGATAAAGGCCAGCAGGGCCTTGGTATCCTCCCAGTTGAGCCAACACGCATTCTTCCTCATGTAGACTTCCTGGGGCTGGGTGGCCCCCAACGTGATGACTGAGATGACAAGAGGGCAGCCATAGCCAAGAGAAAATGCAATAGCCTTCTGAATGGACTTGCTTGTGTCACGCAGGATGAAAACCAGGCGGTAGAAGAGCATAAGACCCAGAGTCAGCATCCAGAAGAAGACACTGAGGTAGAAGAAGTGGATGAAGAAGGTGGTGGCCACACAGGCCGTCTCATTGAGTAGGTAGTGATGGTCATCAATGGTGGCGGCCACAATGAACCAGATGTCGGCAACCAGAAGGGAAGCAGAAATGTTCACAATGCAGATGTGACGCATATAGGAAGTCCGATTCTTGGTCACTGATTTCCACACCACGGCTTCCACAACCAGACAGGCCGCTAAGCTCAAGATGGAGAAGCACAGCCCAATGTAGGAAATGATATCCAGTAGTATTTTCAGGAGAGAGTCAGGGTCTGGGGAGTCAGGGGACATGAGGATGGAGAATGATGTTAGATGGTCACAGCTGCAGGAGACAGTGTCTTCATTGACTTCTTTAACATAGCACCCACTGCTGTCCCACCCCCCTGTATGGTTGGCGAGGTTGAAGTTCCAGAAGACACATTGTGGTATCCCACCTAAAGGGTTGTTGTTCTTAAAAGTCATTGAAATCCTGAATGGCATGGTTATATTGTGGCTGACAGTGGTTGTCATCACTAAGCTGTTTATAAAATTCTTTGCCTCAACATCCTGGGCAATAATGGCTTTGAGAGTTGGGAAAGCCACAGTGACAATAGATGAATCTGGCTGCAGGTTTTCCAGCTGGCACTCATCAATGGCCACATTGCCCCAGAGGTCAGAGTCTAAGAAAACAAAGCTCTGTTTGTAGGGTTTTGGGTCGCCAGATTTTATTACCATGCTCTTCATCTGCACGTTAGTTTGGGAGATGGACAAAAAGGTGCTATCTTCTGACCGTAATGCTCGGGAAAATCTTTCCACTGAATCCAGTAGCTGTGAGCTCTGATTGGTCTGTTGTTGTTGTAACACCTTCCAGGTACTCAAGATGGACTTGCTGAGGATGGCGTTAACCGTAGAGAGAACATGCTGTAATTGACATGGCATGGGATCAAACCAACCAAATTCTTTCAATCATACAACAGAAAAAAAATAACATCTCCCTGGAAACTGGTAAAGTGGGTACAGGTAAGAGGAAAATAAGAGAAAAATGAGGCATCACAGGCTATGGAGATCTGTGATACACCTTCTTATGGAAGGGAGTTAGCAGAGACTAGACCTCAAGACTGTGAGACTTTGTTAAACATTTAGCAACAGTGACAGTGAGAACCACCACCATCTCCCCCACAACCCACTAAGGCCAAGTCAGCAGGCTGGCAGAGATATTTATTAATTGTTTTATTTTATTTTAAATCTCAAGCCTACAAAGGCTTTTTGATGGGTGATATTTCATCAGCATGGGTGAGGTAGTCTCAGAAGACCCTCTCAAATGCTGAGCATCAAATGAGCAATTGAGGGTTGTCAAATGCATCTTTGTTTTTTGCTAAACATATTGATTCTCTCTCCCATAAACTTGGGCATATCATTTTCCATTTGTGCCTTCTCTCAATATAATTTCTCTGCCCTTCTTTGCCTTGTTCTGTTCTCTGAAACTATAAGCCCTATAGTTAGTTGAATGGTGGCCCCCAAAACAACATGTCCTAATACCCTAATACCCTGTGAATGTGAACTTATTTGGAGAAAGGATCTTTGTAGATGTAGTTAAGTTAAGGATCTTGAGAGGAAATCATCCTGCATTACTTAGGTGGGCCCTACATCCAATGATATTATCCTTATAAGAGACAGAAGAGAAGAAGAGAAATGGAGAAGAGGAGAAGGCTGTGCGAAGACAAAGTCGGAGATTGGCATGAGGCAGACACAAGCCAAAGAATGCCTGGAGCCAGCAGCAGCTGGAAGAGGCAAGAAAAGATTCTCCCCTAGAGCTTCAGAGGAAACAATGCCCTGCAGATACCTTGCTTTCAGATGTCTAGCCTCAAGAACTGTGAGAGAATAAGTTTCTGCCATTGTAAGCTATCCAGTTGGTGGCAATTTGTTATGGCAGCCCTAGGAAACTTATATAACTTTTTTGGACTCTTGTTACCCAAGCTGCTTGCCAGGTGGCATCTGGTTGGGTTTAGCTAATGGGAAGCTTTAGCAGGAGATGGGTGGAGAGGGAAGAAAGAAGATGAAATATATTTTTCCTACTATCCCCTGCACCCCCATTCCCATTCTCCTCAGCACATCTTTGGCAATAGCTATGTCCTTCAAGACTGTAGCTCCTGCTGAGTAACCCCTCCTCCACGGGTCCAGCTCTCACTCGGCTGTGAGTGCACTATTTCCTCTCCTTTCTCCTTTAGTCCTCGGGGTAGTTATGCCTCCTAGATGTTGCTGGTCTCGGGATGACTCACCACCTTTTTTTTTTTAACCCTAAATTTACCTCTGTAAATATCCCTTCATTGAAGTCTCTTCGTCTGAATTCTTGTGGGTGAATCCCCTTTCCTCCTAGAATCCTGTTTGCTTCCAAGTTCAGGTGTAGTGCTAGAGCATTGAGAATCCTACCTTGTACCTATTCTGAAAACCTTTAATTCCTAGTTTTCCTAGAAAGCAGATAAGAATTCCTTCTATTTTAATGAACAAACTAAAGCAGAGATTCACTAAAGAAATCTTCTTAAGGTCCCCAAATGAATACCGGAAACACTCCCTGATGTCCTAGAAGCCATAGGTGGAGAACACGTTACATGACTCTGGAAAAGACAGAGAAGAAGCCACAACAGGGAGGAGATATGTTTCTTGACCACAAGTCCTGAGGGGTGAAAAGATGAGATCCAAAACTCCTCCAAGGCTTAAACCAACTCACCGTCATCATTTCTGAATTCACTTGGGTTGGAACTGTTGAAAGCAAATCAAGGATGTTAATGGTGGCTCCCAGGCTCCCAGGAAATGAGCTGACTTCATTTTCCACCTTGCCTGTGCTAATAGAAAGATCCTTTAGGTATGTAGGGAGCTTCTCGTCCTGAGTGGGGCTCTTGATCAAAGCCTAGTAAAACAAAAGCCAACACAAAAAGACAAAGAAAACAACTTGCCAATCAGTCCAATGATCAAATCCTGCTGATCCATCCATGACAAAATCTCTCATATCTATAGTTTCCTTTTTCCTTCATTCCCATAAGTATATCCCATAAGATAACTTACTTATCTCTTAAACTATCTGTGTGTGCTCTTCAGAACAGAATATTACATAAGAAGGGAAACAGTAAAACAGATGTCAACCTGATGACTAGTTGGAAAAAAAAAGAGAAAGTAGATGTGATTGCTGGAGAACTAGATTAAAGTTGAGTAGAATTGTCACTTGGATAGTCAATGGAAGCATATTTGCTACTCTTTGCTTTTTCTTATCACTTATTTTGCTGATCATTAGGGTGACCATCCCAATTTTCCTGGGACAGTTCTGGTGTATATCTGCTGTCCCAATGTAATTAGATAGTGCCCTCTTTTATTTTCAAAAAGTGTCCTAGTTTGGATGATAAATTATATGGTCACACTATCTAAAAGATCACACCTGTATTTTCTAACTATCTATCTTCTACTTATAATCAAAGAATGAACTCAAATTCTGTCTTCTCCATGAAGAACTCTGATGAGTGTTCCAACCCAGAGGAGTTTCTTCCTCTGAATGCATAAGTATTTGTTTTATTTAACACATGTCATATTTGTGACATCTTTCCTAGTGTCATCTTGTGTTTTAATTTTGATATCGCTCCACTTAAATGATAAGCTCCTTAATGACATGAACAATGTGTTGTTTTTCTTTATTTCCTTCTCATATCGCATAATGCCTAACATAACACAAATCATTTGACTTGGCACATAGTAGGTGTTCAATAATATATGTTGAATGGATAAATCAAATGGAGCGTGATAGGCCAGCATGCCCCTTTTCCATTGAAAATGTATTTGGGTATCTAGAATCAAGACCAGGGCCCAAAGTTGAGTTAAAATTAGTATAATTTCTATCTTTCTCAGTTAGGATGATTTATATCCCCAGTGCTTCATCCATCAAGGTCTAACTCAGATGCCAAGTTTTTCTAGCAGAACTTCCTGATTATCCTAGCCAAAATTAGTATGTACAACATCTGTATTCTCTATCAAATCAGTGGTCAAGTTCTGATTTGGCCTCTTTACTCGGATAGCACTTATAATAATGCTTTGCACATATAGGTATTTTAATGAATTTGGTGTAAGACAAGAGGACAGACAGAAGATAATTAGATAAAACACAAATCAATATCACCCCTTCCCCTTAGCTCTTCTTCCAAGGGTGAGAGGATTTGGAACCAGTTGTCTGAAGATGTCACCATTGGCTATAACCCCACTAGTTGCCTCCTTAGTGTTTATTTATTGTAACTCACGGAATTTAGGAGTCTTTAACTGTCAACAACTTAGGTATGAGGTGACATTTATTCATTTTGTTGGAAAGAAAGGAATTTTCCCCTACCACATGAAAGTAACCTCTGTGCTAGGTAAGAGAGGCAGGCTAGTCCCTTCTTTTATAACTATAGGCCACCTCTAAGGATTGAGGAAATCTCAAACCTGTAAAAACATAAAGCCCCACTATTTTTATTTTCCACTGATGAACCTTATTTTTTATATTGCTTTTCATTCTGAAAAGATTAGAGCTATTTTCCTGATATCAAAATCATTCAAAGGAGAGCGCTTAGAGAGGATAGTACTACCTATACCTTGGAGCTAACGGAAACAAGATACTGAGACGACAAGGTGAGGGTACACAGCTGTTCCTAGAGCAGAACACATATTTTTTTGCCTCCATATTGACATTTAAGAAAATTTTTAAGCATTTCTGGGGTTGCATCTTCTTTGGAAACAAAGTTGTTTTGAGAGCAACACAAACCAACCCAAGGCCCATTTTCCTAAGTGCTGAGATACACAAGCTAGACAGATCTCCCCACGAAGAGCTCAGTCAGAGGTCCCAGGATCACCTTGGCCAGCTGGAGCAGACCATTTATTGTGGCAGAGATGCAGTTGTTTCTCTTCACCTTCCACTGGGAGCCTACACATTCATAAGTTATGATTCCACCAGCGGGACCTCCAGGGCTGCTGGGAATGTCCGAGAACTGACACAGCTTCTGGATGACTCGCCCAGGCTCCCCAGCACCTATTATGGGATCCTGGCATGTGATGTTCTCCTCTGCATTGGAAACACGGGAATAAAAGGGACAATTGAAAGGAGGAGAAAACATAGTGGAAACAGGGTCAAGCCAGGTGGAATTTTGATGTTTGAATTGATCTTTCTCTTTACTTCCAGTGAGATTTTCAGAGTTACCCAATTTCTTTATTTTGCTCCTGATTTCTCAAAGCCCCAGTGCTTTCCACACAAATCTGACTTTAATCTGCACTTGCTTTTCCTAACAGAATTTATATCCTCTATGCCTCATTCCCACCTCCAATCCCCAGGAATCATCTCTCTGCTGCCTGCAAAATCGAAGCCATGGAAAATAATGAGAACTTAAAGTGCACTCAGCCAGATAAGAGATATTCAGTTTACTAGGATTTGTAGGGATATAATGCCTTCACCCAAAGGATTCTCATCCTGGCGTATTAGAATCACCTGGGGAGCTTGGAAAACTCCAATGTCCAGGCTCACTCCAGCCGAGGTAAATCAGAACCTCTTGGGCTGGGATTTGGGCATCAGTAGTTTTTTCAGCTTCTGCAGTGATTCCAGTGTGCAGCCAAGGTTGAGAAGCCCTGCCTTCATCCAAAGATATAATTAGCAGTAGGAATTCTGGGCACCCACAACCTGAAGATTCTAGGCAATATTTGTAAGCATTTGTTCCTTCTGTTTTCCCTGAAAGATGACTCTATTTCACCTGTACTCTAGAGGAGACTTGAATGGGAAAATGACATCTGTTGCAAAATCTCTAATCTCCAAGGGACACTGACTCTCTGATGTGCAGATCCCTCTCTCACCAACTTTTAAATTTAGCATTAATTGAGTCCTCAGCCATTGTATAAAATCTTAAAATATGTGAGTAATGTTCTACTAGGAAAATGAAATGGAATCAGAGTTGATATGAAGAAAGAGAAGAAGAACAAATATAAAACATGTTGATGCTTGGACTAAAATGGAGGGACAAGGAAGAATTTACCTTAGCTGCCCCCTGGAAGAGGTCTTCTTGATAGGGTCAGTGGACAGTGCTTCAGAGAGAGATAGGGAACTCTAAATTGCATTCTACTTTGGTGTCCAGGGCTTAGTTATCAATACACATGAGAATGACCACAAATCAGTGAACTCAAAGGAGCTGGCTGATAGAGCCATGGACCCTTCAGAGATCAGGGGTCCTACTACAGAGAAGATTTCTGGGAGAGGGGTCACTTATGGTGGAAGCCCAGGACCATCATTTACACACTTGCCCCTCTGTTGTCGTTAAGGAGAGCTCTTTGGCATGGGCTGTTACAGAAATGGCTCAACAAATCATGACCTTTTACCTTGAAAATGTTATGTGGGGGGATATTGGCTCAGTGATGACAAAGGATGGAAAAGACAGTTGCCTAATGTTTAGATCGATTCTTTTCGTGTAGCCCTGTCTCAGGGAAACAATGCTAGTGGGGACACCCTTCCTTTGCTGAAACCTCAGAGGAGTCTCAGCCCCACACAGACACTGTGCACTCTTATCTGCTGGGGGTGGTACACAGCCTCCCAGACTCAGCTGAAATATGGCTTCATCGGCAAGGCTCCTTGATCACTTCCTCCTCACCCATCAACAGCAGAGTTATGCCAGGCAGCCTCAGCTGGTCGCCCACAACGTCTCTAGTTTAACACTTATCACATTATACGTGATAACATTTTTTATTGCATCTCTCTCTCCCGTAGGCTCGAGGCCAGGAAACATGGCTTATTTCTTTTCAAATCTCCACACTTACCCCAAGGCCTGCCACATGAAGGTGCTCGACATACATTTATTGGATGGATGAATGAAGGAATGATTGAAAAAATGAATCCCTGGTCATGATTATAACACTTTAAAGTAATTTAAAATGCTCTCACCAAGAACCAGATTAAGCTTCATAGACTGGCTCCGGACTGAATTATTAGCGGCGTTGGTAAAGTGACAAAACACGTCAACAGTTTTCGGACACCGGGAAATGGAGTTTGCCATGAAATCGTATCTGTAGCACACTTGCTTTCCATTAACTTCTTTTGCTAAGATAGAATTGTTGAAAGAATTAAGTCACAACATGAGTATCCAAAGCACAAATTTTGTTAGAAGGATCCAGTATGGGTAAACTTGTCCACACTCTTTCCAGGAATGGGCCACATGCACTTTTAATGTGGTTTTACTTGCTTACCTTTTGCCTCCAGCTCTTAGAAGTAAGTAAGCCCACATTTGCATGGGTGCTAGCCAAAACTTTACCTCCACCATTCATGACTCCAAATCTGTGCCCACACATTTTTCGACAATCAAAATACCTTTTCAGCATCTCTCAAATCTCTCTACCTATCTAAATCCCATCACGTCCTGGGCATTTATTCTATCCTGCCTTCCCCACATTGGTTTAGAGTCACCTCCAATAGGTCTGTCTCCTCCATGAGACCATAAGGTGTTGGAGAGAAAATACCTAGTCTTATTTATCTTTGCATCTCCCAGTGCCTAGCCCAGTATTTGGCATATAGCACTGAACACATGCAAGTTGAACACAGAATGTTGAGATGTTTGAATATTTTAATAACCAGATTGATTCCATGCCCCCTACCATGTAGCCTTCTCCAAACTTTTTATTGGATCCTTGCTGTTCTGAATTTCCACTGTTCTTTAGATCTGTATTACTCATTTTGGATATTTAATGTTATATGCATTATCTTTTATGACATGAGCCCTTCTAGATATTAATATATGTATTCTACTTCTTTTGTATCCTTTCCATTGCCTGCTATGGTGTTTTGCATTGAGCAGGTCCCCAAAAATAGTTCTTGAAAGAATGAATAAGCTTATAAAACCCTCATGAAGATGTCTATGTTTTGAGATTTGGGATTGTGAGCTCATGTTTGGTTGACCTTAATCTGTAGGAATCCTGAAGGATCTGGACTGAAGTACATTCTATCAGAGAGGATTTGAATTTTTTTTTCCAAGTGCCATCAGTGCTACCAACAGACCACTTTAAGATAATTTTAAGTTAAGATAATTAACTTTAAGTTAATTATCCTTCAGCTTGAAGTTCCTGGACCACACAGGCAATATAATTTCAAACCCCAAACCTGAGTGAAGGCAGGACACTTGTAATTCTCAGGGGAAAATTTTGCCCAACCAGAGATGAGGCCAAGCTCTTAACTCTGGCAGATGAATTTTGTTTTCCTAGCCTATTCTTATGTCACCCTTTGAGGGTCCTGACATCATGCTAGTAGGGTGGTGGTGCCTCAGTTACTGCATAGGAAGCAAGGCCTCTCCTTTCATGTCCTTTAGAGCCTTAAATCCCAAGGTTTTGGGTTTCTGATATGACAAATGCTCTCAGGGATGCCCCAAAGTTAGTCAAAGCATTATCTTTATTTTTCTTTTCCTCTACATTTTTGGCCCTTAGTTATTCCTCTTACTTTCTTACATGCTCAACAGTGCATTTAAAAAGATTTTTGTAGAACATGTGGGATTTTTAGAGCATGCTGATTCATACCATGGAGTGAAGGACTATCAGAACATCTAGTTTACTATGTTGAGGAAGCAGAAAGCCTGCGAAGGTATCTTAATACCATCTTCAACAGTTCCCACTAAGGAGAATGGGCTCCACTCTCACAGACTCTTAAGATTTTGCCACAACCACAAGACACTGGCCACATAGCAAAATAGAAGATAATGAAGTCTCATGGGATTCTGCTCCGTTACATTCCATCTCTGATACAGTCCGTAGTTTCTTGAATTCTATTTTAAGAGTAAATTTTTAGACTTCACATGTATGAAATAATATGTCCTAACTATTCATCAGTTGGCCTCTTACCAGCAGGAAAGGATGAAGAATCTATATGGAAAGTTACTCTGTAGTCTTCATCCTCCTCTATGCAGCACTTGAAGTGGTGGGAACCTCTGCGTGACACTATAGCTTCCAAAGGATCAACCATGATGTTTGGCTCTAGAGGCAGTGGATGAACGATGACGTCTTTGCTCGCAACACTGTATGAATTCTTATATCTAAATATGCAGTAATAGGTTCCTGAGTGGAAGGAGGCAAAAATGAGATGGAATGAAATCATCGTTCCAAAAAGGCATTTGCTGGGAAGGTTAAGAAGAGGCTTAGTTTTCCCTCTCAAGCTTAGGCAAGTGCACACCACACCATCTTGGACACTGGAGGAGAAAATGCATGATCGACTCCCCTTCTGGTTCGCTATGTATTTGAAGGACTAACCAACAGCCACCTAAATATTCACTTACTTTCAAATAAAATTAAATGGCTTATCCAAAATCATACAGCTTGTTAGGGGTGGAATTGGGTTTCAAACCAGGTTCCTGATACCTGCCCCAAGGCTCTTTCATTAACCTGGGGAATAAATGGGAATTTTGGTACATGCTGGGATGGAGAGAATTTGAAGAGAGCTGTGAGCCAGCTGGAGCACTGGGGGGGTCCGCATCTCTAAGCGATTAGGCTCTTCCGTGTCCAGGACACGGTGGCACCACCAAGGAGTGAAGACAGAGAGGGAGTTAGTTCTTGGGAGAGCTTGACCTATGGACCCTGAGGTTAGATGTCTGACTCTTCTCTATAAAAGTCTAAAGATGAGAGGCTAGCTGACCGTGCTGGAGTGGGAAGAGAACACTTCAGGAGGAATAGCCTACATATCCAGTGCTTGGGGGGCAGAGTGGGCTGTGGAAAGTACTTGGGCTGAGCATCTTGAAAGGGCCTTTTCCCAGTGGACTTTGCACTAGGGGCCATCAGACGATGAGCTACCATTTGAGCCACTGCCACAGAACAGTAGAGGAAGATTATAATAGCACCTACAGGTAAGGGAGACCCTTCGATTTTGTATATACTACTTCTCTTTGCTCCGTCACTGGAGGAGCCAGAGCAGGAGCTAGCCAGAGGGAACCTGGAATGAGGACAGAGAAGAAACTCCTTTCCATTCCTGTTGAGAGGCAGGGAAATTTAAATTCAAGATAAAATAAAAGGGTTGTTGATTTAGAGGAGAATAGATTTTTTTTTTAGTCCCTGAGTATGGGACCATTGATAGTGTAATGTGACTGGAAAAGCTCCTCCTAAGTCATGGCCCGGTCATAGGAGAGAGCAATTGGACAGAGTAGGTGTGAGTTTGCAACCGGAGAAAAATACTCCCATTTCCTGATTGTATACTACCAAGTCCAAACTATAACTAGTTATTTCTATAAGGTTGCCTAGGCTCTACAGGCAGAAATAAGGAAGACCTGGGACTCACAGGATCTGGACTGATTAACCTGATAGTTAATGAAAGGCTTCAGGTGGAATGAGTAAGATTTGGCCACTGGAGCCAGCCTTAGTTTCCCCCTGGCTCTGCCATTTACCAGACGTATAGCCTCAGGTAATTGACTCACCCTCACTGGGCCTCAGGTTCCCCACCTGTAAAATGGCGATAATGATAGCACTATCTTCTAGGTTTATTCTTTTAGGTGAATTAATACACTTAAATACTTAGCACAGTGCCTATCACATAGTAAGGGCTCAATAAATGTCAGCCACTATTGTAGCAGTTTATCAAATTCTCTTTTTATTTTTTTTCCCCCAAATTTGTGTTTCCTCCCAACATGAACAAGGTACAGAGATAAATAGGAAACAAAAATGTTTCTTTCTTTGGAACCAGGCATATAAAAGCTTTACCTAGATTTTTTATAGCACAGTTGGGTGAAACACTCCCAAGAGTCTGATAAAAGTACTTTTAAGAACAATTCTCTTTTGGGGTTGGCCCAGTGTTGTAGTGGTTAAGTTCGTGCACTCTGCTTTGGCAGCCCAGGGTTTGCAGTTTGGGATCCCAGGCGTGGACATACACACCACTTATCAAGCCATGCTGTGGCAGGCGTCCCACATATAAAGTAGAGGAAGATGGTCATGGTTGTTAGCCCAGGGCCAGTCTTCCTCAGGAAAAAAAGAGGAGGATTGGCAATAGATGTTAGCTCAGGGCTAATCTTCCTCACAAAAAAAAAAAAAAAAAAAAAAATTCCTCTTTCTTAACTTCATGGTAGGAACACAGGCTCTAGAATCAGAGATACTAACTCCAATCCTGACTCTACAACTGCAGTTGTGGAAGCCTAGGTGCATTTGTTATTCTCTCTGAGCCTCAGTTTCCACATCTGTAAAATGAGAATAATGACCTCTTCCCCCAAGGTGCTGATGCCTTAAATGTGACGACACATTTAATGTAAAGTGGCTGACATAGGTGTGTCCCAGGACGGGCCCTCTGGGGATGGTAACTGTTATGGTGTGTTTCCAGGGGTCCAGGCAGCAGAGCAGGGTATCTGGCCTTTCACTCACCCGTCCACTCCCTGGTCGAGGTCTTCACTATCAGTACCGACTCTGCTCCATCAGGATACCTCCTTGTGGTATAGAACCTTTGGTGTATTTTAATTCCAGCAGAAGTGTTCCAGTACACCTCATCATAGTTACTCACATCACTGATGCACTTTATAGAAAAGTTTTGTCCCTCAGAAACAGAAATTGGTTCCGGGGTTATTGTTAGGTTGGCTGAAAAAAGGCAAACAAAACAGACAAAAGAAAACTGACAACAAGCACAATGTTTAGTCTTTCCGGTGACATCGACACACAAGTGAAATTTAAGATAAAGATAGAAAGCATGGGCCATCCTGACTCTACTTGTGTCAACGTGGGATTGGTACCTTGCTGTTCCTGGGCTTTACTTGTTTCTAGGCTGTTCCTGGTGGTGCTCTGAACTGTACTCATTTCCATCACATGCCTTAGGAACTCGTGCACTTCCCCTTTGTGGCTGGAATTATCTCCTGATGATCAGCAGGGCAAAAGGTTGCAAACTTAGGGGTGTTGACTTAACCCAAGCTCCCCTCCATCCTCTCCCGTGACACCTCAAGGGAGACCAAATGGCTCCGTTCTTGTGACAACTCCATTCTCTACTCTTTTAAAATACCCCTTTAAAAACAATACCACATTTTATTTTAATTCCTCTCTCTCTACTTCTCTGTAAAAAGTGACCCTCTCAAGAACAGGACTCTCTCTTCCGTGTCTTTGCACCCCCAGCACTTAGCACTGGATCTAGTACACGGTCAGTGCTTACTAAGCAGAAGACTGATTTCTGGAACTACATTTTTAGTAGTGGGATCGTGAAGTTTATTGCCCAAATAATTACATGTGGACTCTCTCAGGCAAACTAGGATGTGTGAGATCCTAACTATAAGTCTCTACATTTACTCCTCTTTCTAAGAATCTCCTCATAGATTCATGAGGAATTATTCATCAAAAATGTTAACAAGACCCTTACAAATATAAAAGCTTGTATGACCATTCCACTGTTTTTGCCTCTGAATCTGTCTTTCCACTCCTCTTTGAGCATGTCCTCTAGATAGTTGACATTTCAAAAGGCCACTCGTTTCTGTCTTCCATAGGTGAACAACTTCATGCCTTGAGCCCGCTGATGCTGGCCTGCTATTCCAAACAGTGTAAAATCTTATTCTTAGTCATAATCAAAAGAAACCCGGGCTTTCCATAGTACTCTTTAGAAGTAGAGCCAAATGTTCGGAATTCTGAAGCCGAGCAAGAATGGATTAACGCGTCCCTCGCATGCCCCTCGCTGTGTTGGGATCTTGAGATGCCTTTTTAAGGTTTAGCGGAAAGAGTAGAAAGGCTCATGGAATCATGAATTTGGTTCTCTTGCTTCTCAGTTGAGGTCCAAACTACCAGACCAGTGGCAGTGGTTTTCAGCAAAGGCTAAATATGACCCTAAAGACACCCAAAAGCTCACATAATCAGTACAACTCGCAGAGTTAAAACTTGCGGTGGACGACTGCTCTCGCTATAGGAAACCGCAAATTGCTCAAAAAACCCGCGAACTCTTCTACAGCAACAATATTTTCAGATAAACCTGATCTAGCTCTTTGTAAAAATGCTAAGTCATGATTACAGAAAACCAGTCCTTTCTCCAAGTTGTTCAGAGGGGGGTCTGATGATTTATCTAAATAGTTCCTTTTTGTAAGATGAGTGAAAAAACAAGTTTGCCCCATTTTTGCAGGTGGGGATGAAGTTATAAATGCTTTATTATGTGAGGAGAAGAAATGATACTTTTAAGAAGCCTACTGAAGCTGAATTAATTGAAATATAAAAAACACTTGTTACAACCGTAAAATAAGCACAAAGTTTCAGATTATTAAAGGTTTCTGCAGCATTCTCTCCAGAATAGGTGAAACGGGAGAGGTGGAAGCACAGAGGGAGGAGAAGGGTGGTGGGGAATGAGCCAGGCTATTGGAATTCAAGGGAAGGAGAACGAGATTATGGGAGGAAAAAGGGGGAAATTAGGGGTGTTATCCTCATTATAAACTCAATGATCATTTAGGACTAATCTGAGTGTGAAACTCTACCTCTCAGGCCACTTTCGTGTTACCAGCACAATGCAGGCCCTGGCTTCCCTGCAGCCACTTGTCCGCATTCCTACCCTTCCCAGATTCTAATGACTTCATCTGCATTTAAATGGCAGAAGGGACGATCCTCTTCTGTCTCCCACTGTGGGATCTACCCCAACCACCTACCTGGAAGGCCCTGCTTTATTGCTCATAGATATTCCCAAGTGATCAGCAGCCCTTGGTTTGAGGTGCAAGGCTCTAAATTCTAGTGAACGAGTCCTTACCCACAGAGGTGAAAGTCACTTCTATGTTCTTACTGCCTCTGGCTCCGTGGGCGCTGGTGAACTCACACGTGTAGACGACCTTGGTTCCAGCCGACCCACTTAGACACTGAGTTCCGTTGGCCTGGAGGGTGTACCTGCTGCAGCTGGAGTCCATGTCTGTGTCAGAGTTTTCTGCAATGACATAAGTAGTTCTTCTGCCGTCACAGTTGGCTGACTCTCGGATTTAGCAGCAAAGAGGCCACATCAGTGAAAAAGCGTTATTATTTAAATTCGATTTCTTCTCTTTGAATGGAGAGGCAGGATTGTACAGTGGTTAGGTCTGCAGACTCAGGAGTCAGGTGGCCTGGCAGCAGATCCCAAACTCTACCACTTTCTCGCAGGGTGTTGTTGAGAAAGTCACTAAACTACTCTGTGCCTCAGTTTCTCAGTAAAATGGGCATAAATAATAACAGCTATGGCCCAGGACTATAGTCAGGTAAAATGAGTTAATATACGTAAACGCTTAGAACAGCGCCTGGCTGGGACCTGCCCCTAATAAAGACCACTAGTGATAGTCGTTTAAGTGTGAAAAATAAAAAAAGAGTTTGGATATGTTTTCAACTGGAAGGAAAAAAGATGCCAGATTGTTTAGACTATTGTTATTGAAAAGAGGAAGAAACAAGGCTGGGACATCTGATATCCATCCCATTTGAGAAACCTTTTCGTAACTTATTCTCTCCTTCCTAGTCTATATGTTTTAGTGGAAGCTTCAACTTCATGCGTTTTCAGGTTATCAGCAGTTTACCCTTCAAAACAGCTTCCTTTACATTCCCAAGATGCCCTCCAAGCCATCTTCACTTCTTGCCTATGGCTCTATAACACCCTCCTGGTGAATTTTTTCTGCTCCATTCCCTTCACTCTCTCCTCCAACATTGCTTGCTGCCATGTACCCTTAAGACATTCTTCAAACACTGTCAATCTTCCAAAAATTAAAGAAAAAGAATAAACTTCTGATTAGCTCCAATGTAAATGCATCTTTTTCAGCCTTGGCTGGATGATCAATGATATTTGAAATATTTTTATTGATATATAACCAGCTTTTCTCCTCAGTTCCCAAAACGGTTGTTCATAACACCAAACTGGTTTGTATCTTCACCAGCCTTGACTAATTACCTCCTAGTTCATGGGCACAAGTGTCCCTACTCATCTCTAAGGCTCACCCCTCCACTTATTTTTGGAAAGCCCACTTCCTCCAGTGCCTCCAGGACCTTATTCTGTCCTTTATCTTTCCTCTCCCCTGTGTCTTTAATCTTTCCTCACTTCAACCATCAGATATGCTCAAGTCTTCCCTTCCTAAAGTAATCCTTGCCCAATCTAAAAGCTCCCCTAGCCACCAGCACATTTCTTCCTCTCTTCATGCCACATTGCTTCTGCATTCATCACCTTTAGTCTTTCATTCCCACTTTTCAGCAAACCACTGCAATTTGCCTCTTCTCCCTATACTCCACCTAAGGTGTTCCTTTAAGGCCAACTGAGACTCCTTCTTTTCCACATCCAGTGGCTTCTTGTCACGCTCCCTGGACTGCAGCATCCCATTCTGCACACTTTCCCTGTGACTTGGCTCACTTGATTCCATAGGTCCCTCCTGCTTCCTCTCTCTCTTCATCCTTCTTCTGGGTCTTCCTCCCAGGCTCCTCTCCCCTCTGTTCCCTTTTTACATATTGGCGTTCCCCAGGATAGTGGCCTCCCCACACATCCTGATATGGGCTCTTTCCTTACCTTTTTCTCTACTCTCTCGCTGGGCAATCTCATCTACACACATGGCTCCTATTATATCCTGTATTTGGATGACTCCCTACTCTATCTCCAAGAGAAACCTCCTGTTGGAAACTCTAGAAGAAAATTCCCAAGTGCCAAAGCGATGTCTTAGGTACCGCCAACTCAACATGTCCAATCAAGAACTCATCTTTCTTCTCTCCAGGCAAAACATGCACATCTTCTAATGTTTCTTCTCTTTGCTATTGGCAGTTCACAAAATTAAGAATCTTTAAGTCATCTTTAATTACTTGCATTTCCTCACATTCCACTTCCACTCAGTTGTAAAATTTTTTAGATTGCACCTTTGAAACGTCTCACAACTGTCTTATCCACTCCAACCTGTGGTTACCTGCCTGGGTCCCGTTATCTATTATCTGCCAATTGCATACTCTTGAAACTGGGTCTCTATTTTCAGCTAATTACCCCTTCAATCTATTGGCTACACAACCTTAAAATTTATTTTTATTTTCTAAAATTTATTTTTCTAAAGTTCAGCCCTGATCATTTCACTTCTCTCCTTTAACCTTTAAAATCTTACCATTGCCTACAAAATAAAATAATATCTCCTTAGCGTAGTATATGTATTTGTTCACAGTATGATTTCAATCTGCCTCTGTTCTCTTTATTTCGTTCTATATTCCTCTCTTACAGACTAGGTCACAGCCTGGCTCTTCAACATGCCCGTAGCTTCATGCCTTTATGCCTGGGTTCACATCTAGAATATTCTCCTTCCCTCTTCCTCCTGTTGACTCTTACTCATCCTTCAAGGCCCAGCTTCCTCATCAAACTAATGTGCAAGACAATGAACTATGTCAGATGGAGTATATATGGAGATGTACAAAAATAATTGTAATGCACAGTAGATAGATTTCCTAAGAGAAATAAGTATAATATGGAGATTAAAGAAATAAGTATATTATGGAGATAAATATATTATGGAAGGGTGTTTTAGTTGGGAGACTAGGGAAGATTTCAGAGAAGAAGGAAGATTTGCTCTAGGCCTGGAAAGAAATAGATAGAATGGTGGCTGTGCTGTTCTGGTGTGCAGCTGTGTGTGTGTGTATGTGTGTGTGTGAACCAGTACTCCTTGGAGAACTTGGCCTTCCATTAAGCTGCTTCAGGAGCTGGGGCTGGGTGGGGGAGTGGGAGAGTGATAAGCTATGTGGGCTCTAAGCCCCCCATGCTTTTTACAACTCAAGTGGCTCCACTCTGGTGTGCTTTACCCATCAGATGTGTGGTTCTCAACCAAGGGTGATTTGGCCACCCTGGGGAACATTTGGCAATGTTCAGAGACAGTTTTGATTGTTACTACTAGGGGTGCTGCTGGCATCTAGTGAGTAGAGGCCAAAGATGTTGATAAACACCTTGCAATGCACAGGACAGCTAGCCTCAGCAAAGAATTATCAGGCCCCAAAGGTCACTAGCGCCGAGGTTGAGAAATCTTGCATTGGACAACCACATAAGACTTTTCTTGAAGAAAGGATTGTACGGTTAAATCAGAAAACCATTGGTGTACACAGAAGCACAGAAGCAGCAGCACGCTAGTCACGGTTGGGGAAAGCTAAGTAGCCCTGTTAGGCTGAAACACACAGGAAAAGAGTGGAGATGAGGCTCCAAGGAGATAGCGAACTCTGAAAACAAAAGCAAGACCTCTGAATCAGCAGCATTCACGTTGTCCTTCATACAACACCCCTGCGGCTGTGCAACTCGGGGTCCAGCACGGAAGGTACTGAATGCAGCTAATTAAGTTGGTGCTCTGCTTTCTGGAGAAGAGATGGGAGGCAATTACAAGTTTGCTGCTCAAGGTTAGATAATATCCAATGAAGATTCCCCACCACACTGAGGATAAGTGAGGGAATGGTTTTTAAGGCTATCATCATTGTCAGAAAATAGTTATTGTGGCAAATCCAATGTAGTCAACTTGGTTTTAAATGTTTACATTTATCATCTTGGTTTTTCTCCCTCTAAAAGTCTTGTAAAAAGTTGCCATTATCACTATTCAACAGATGAAGGTCTGGAGGTCAGTGAGGTGACTCAACTTGCTCTGCACCAGGAAAAGGGCACGTGGCAGAGCTGGGGTTACAGCTTTTCAGGACTAGGTACTGTCTTACTGGAAAACATGGTTTGTAAGGCTAATTTTTCCAGGGCAGAAGACTTGGCACAAGTTCTTTCCTTTTCTTTTTCTTTTTTTAAATCTAATTTTGTGGGCATTCCTACAAGTAGAGGACCGCTATTTAAAATGGGCTTTGTCTATGGCACTGTCAGGAACACAGAGAAGGACATGGAGGAGGAGGAGAGAGTGGTGGGTGACGAGGTGGAGCCCTTTGCCACGATTGGGGAGACCCCGGGCAGCTCACATAAAGGCTCAGTTTCCCCATGTGTAAAATGAGGGATTGGACAAAATCCATGGTTCTCGCTCCCTCCTGCCCAAAAAAATCACTTGTGAAATTTAAGAAAACATGCCACTGCCCAGAGCCCAAATTCATAGACTGACTTAATTGCTCTAGAGTGGAGCCCTGACAGCTGGTCTTTTAAAAAAACAACGGAGGTGACCCCCATGTGCAACCATGATGGAGGATGGTGCCTCTAACAATGCTACTTCTAGTTGCTTCTCTACTTAGGGCTCACCTCAGTCTCTGAGGCAGGCCTACTTCTGGTGGTGCTTTATAAAGTGACTCAAAAGCCACAAGACTGATTTTTACTCAATAAAGAAAAAAAGCCAGTGTCACTTTTTTATCTCTTACTGACGCCCTGTTTGGCTGCAAAAATAACATTTCAGGCGGCACACAAGCACACGCAATAACACGTGGTCAAAAACGTAAGCGGGGCCGTTGGGAAGAAAAGACACAAGAAGGGAGATTGTGGTGTTTGAGGCTGTTCCCCGTCACCAGTCCCTCGGCGTGCTGTTCCATGTTGTCATATGCCTTCACAGCCAGCCGAGAGGGGGCTGACACCCTCTTGTAAAGACTCAATTGTTTTGTGAATACTCTGCACGACGATAGGCCAAGGGAGTATGGTAGGCAGGGCGAAGAAGAAGTTCATGAACTCATTTGGGGACTGTTCTAACAAAGCGGGAATTAAGGCTCCATTATTTTTTATCATCACACCACATAAGAGGAGCTATGGGGAGACTACAAACTCTATTGCCCTAAATTCCCCCAAGCGGTCAATACGTCCCTAAATAGGCAGAGTAGTACTAGATACGGGCAAAGTAGAAGCGGCACTGATGATAATAACTATTAGTACCTCTATGCTTACTACTACTAGGATATAATATTAATACTATTACTTCTGCTGCCATTAACATTTATATCATCAGTCGGTGCCCGATGATTTGAAAAGCCCCAGAAAGCTCTCTATATTCCAAAAAGACCACCTTCTTAAAGCTGGAAATTCTTTCATTGCTGATTACCTCCTTGCTGTCTTATCCCTTGCCAGAAGTGTTTTCAAAATGAAATGCAACTTTTTCTGAGAAGAGGTAATATATTCACTTCCAAGCCCTTTGGGGTGAATTATTTAGCTAGATTGCTTTCTCCTGACCTGAAAAAGTGGGTGCTAAGAGAACTTGTGGGATTTGGAGAAAGATTGCTGCAGAGACGGGCCAGCAAGGGAGGAGGAAGAGGGCAGAGTGCCGAGAGCAGAGGCTCAATTCATCAGAAAACCGACCGTGTGGGTCCCCAGGTGGCCAGCCCTGGGGCAGGAAATCCATTGTTCTGCAGTCGCTTCAGCTCACACTGGGCAATAGGAGTGTCTGCAGCAGTCTGGCCACGAGAGGCCCGAGCATCTGCACCGCAGACTTCCTGGTTCCTCTGCCAGAGGGCAAGGTTTTTCCCCTCTCCGAGTTGAAAGCCTATAAGTCAGTACCACGGGAACTTTGCAGTGTCTTTCCCCCATCTGTCAGCTCCCTCAGGATGCCTACATCTCCTCTTCCTTAAAAATCAGGGAAGTGACTAAATGTACCATCTGTCAACATTTTCAACAGTTACCAAAGGCCTTTCCCATCCTTCGGAGTTCTTTAGAATGGAATGCAAATGCTGCAGGTGAAATGTGCTTTGCAAATGGATGTGCTCAGGAAAAGTTGCATGTACATTAACCATTATTTTATTTTTTTTATAATTTAATATAGTCTGATAGCAAAGACTCTGTAAAGTAAAGCTTTACCACACTAGTGTATTTCATGGGTGGAGTCACATTTTACTTTAATGATGTTTTACTTTAAAGATGAGCACATAATACTGTCATTTCTTAAGGGAAGAATTGGATCTTGTTATGAGAGGTTTCTAGGCAGAAGACAGTCTTCTGCTTCAGTACAAACTCTGTCAGATCAGCTGGCTCCCGTGCTGGCTCACCAGGCAGGGATAACATAGCCTGGCCAAGACAAACACTGGTCTTGTGAAACAACACCTGAGGTGAGTTCCAACTCTTTCTTTTTTTTCCTATTGTGACAATCTTGGATAAGTCATTTAATACGGACCACAATTTCCTTATTTGCAAATTAGAGGTAAAAATGCCAGCTTCAAACTTGTAGTCAAGTTTAAATGTGACTAAAAGTGATAACATATTTTTAAAAAAATGGTTAATCATAAACAGTTACACAAAAATGAGTCAGTATTGCTATTTTAGTTTATTATTATTATTATTATCATTCATCAGTATAAACTGAAGGGTGGGGAACTTCAAGTCAGATCTCAGATCTAAAACGGAAGCAAACAGGGTCAGAAATCGACATGAAACAATTGAGAGACAAACAGGTCTACACAGAGAGATGAAAAAGCAGAGACACAGCATAATATAAAAGAAAGTGTGGATACCAAAGCAGAGAAATGAGAAGGACAGAAACCAAGAGAAGAGACACAGAAATGAGAAGCTCTAAGTCAGACCCCAAAACAAAGCCAATGACCTTATCCTTAGCTCTTTGCTGAAGATGGAAAGGAAGGTAGGGAAAGGAAGGAAAGGAAAGGAAGCTTCTGTAGATGGGAGATGCTATGGACCTAAGTCATCAGGTCCCTCCCTCTGGGGTCTTCTCTGCCAGGATCTCATCTACAACCCAAGCACGACACTTGTATGTATATATTTTTGAAATTTTGTTCTAGAATGGCTAAGTTGGAGCTGGCATCAAACCTAGTACTTTTTCACAGTCTGAAGCCCGGAAAAAAACAGCATCTGACACTTCCTCTTTCACCCATCGCATCTCCCATTTTTACTTGGCCAAGAGGCAAAAATCTATTTGCAAAAGAGCATCTACCATTCTTACCTTGAATGGTTATTTTCCCCTCTTTCTTCCATTCTATTTTACTCCAATTAGCATTAATCTCACTGCAGCAGTTCAAAGATACAGGATTGTTGTCACACATGACCTTCATTTCTTCATTTGCCAAAATTTGGATGGGGGTAACATCTATTTTTTTTCTGGCCTCATATTCAAAAATATCGAGTGTCAGTTTGCAAATATATTCACCTGCACAGAATACACAAAAGCATTTATTATTACTACATATATATATTTCCTTAGAAGAATGAGAGCCTTGTCTCATGTGTCATGACAGTACATCATGAAACACCATTTTCAAAGGCATCCGAGACTTGGTCTAAACAACCCTCAGGGAACATTCAGGAAGTGCAGAAGATTAATGCAGGTATTTCTGATGCCACCAGGTAAAGAGTAGAGAGATGTTCTAAAGAAATAGCAGAAATCTCAAAGTCTCTGCTAATAAAAGAAAAAAGTGTGGGAAGGGAAGAGGTAGAAAGGAAAAATTGGAAAGCCTTGGAGAATTAGAAGACTATGGATAATTCTGGCATCCTGTTTAACTCTGTGGCAAAATCAGAATCAACAAAGGTGTGCTAGGACCCATATGTCTGCAGCCCAACTTCTCATTCAGAGAAAAAGAGATGCCCCTGTGGACATCTGGGTTACAATGGGGTTATTTTTTCTGTTTTTATTTTTGATGAGGAAGATTCGTTCTGAGCTAACATCTGTTGCCGATCTTCCTCTTTTTTTGCTTGAGGAAGATTAGCCCTGAGCTAACATCTGTGCCAGTCTTCCTTTATTTGGTATGTGGGTCACTGCCATAGCATGGCTAGTTGAGTGGTGTAAGTCCGCACCCAGGATCTGAACCCACGAACCTGGACACCAAAGCAGAGCGTGCCGGACTTAACAACTATGCCACAGGGCCAGCCCCTACAGGGGGATTATTAAATTCTAGAACGTCAGGTTTAAAACTTATGCTTCCGGGTTGCTGGGGGAGGGGAGTGGGGAGGGGCAGGTGGGAGCGACTACAATGGAGTACAAGCAAATTTGGGGGGGGTGACGGATGTGTTCACTATCTTGATTATGGTGATAGTTTCACGTGTATACACATGTCAAACTTATTAAATTGTACACTTTAAATGTGTAGAGTTTATTATATGTCAATTCTACCTCAACAAAGCTGTTCTAAATTTTTAAAAATTAAAAAAAAAAGTCTGCTTTTTGTCTCGAGTTCCAACGAAGCCTTGGTAAGTGTACAAAACTGTATTTGTCTCCAAGGCTGAATTTGCTTAGCTCATATGTCATGGGATTAATTTTCAATTTTGAAAAGTTGCACCTGGTGACTTCCTTTTGAAGAGGAAAACGCTATATACACATTCAATGGTTGGCTTCTTTATGAGCTCTTCATTCCTTTCCTCACCCCAATTATTGGATGGAAACCCACCTGCGTCACCCTGAGTGATGTTGTAGATAGTGAAGTTCGATACTGAGGTCGTGTTGTTGAGCACGGAGGTGTAAATCCAGAATCTGCTGCTGTTCTGGATGTCGGAGCTCCTTTCGACATGGTGCCAGGACACATTGGAGAACGGAACTTCGTTTTCACACACCAGAGTTACTGTATCCCCTTCAAAGATGATTTCTGGTATGACAGAGAACTTAGTTTCATCTGGAAACCCAGAAAAAATGTATTAGGATCCCAAAGCAAATAAATGTACTTGATGCTACCCCCACAGACTGGATGCCACCACGACGAGGGTTCTCCCGAGGTCTCTACAGCATCTGTGCTGCTGACTAGAAGGAGGCAGCGTGTCCTCCTTGCTCCATCCTTGGGCAGCTGGTATCTGAGGCCCAAAGAGTTACAGCCTGCTGGATACTAGGGACAAGCCTTCCAGTTTGGGGTCTTTGCACACTTAAGAGTTCTTAATGGTAGTAATGAGGATCTCAAAGCTATTTTCAATATTTCAAATAGTCTGGTAGGAAATTGCACATTTGCTTATGAAAAAGCCACACCAGGTAACTTAAACATCAAGTTTCTTTGCTACTGACTCAAATAGTATCAACTGCTTCTTATCAATAACTGATACCTTGTGTTGACTGAATGTTCTGTCCTATGTCTTTGATGAATTAGAAATGGAAAGACAATTTAATTTTTGATAATCAAGTCTGGTTGGGAAATAATTTTTTTTAAGATCTAATACCCATGGGCCCTTAAAAGTGAGAGCTGTATAGACACACAGGTCCAGATTTGAATTCTGGTTCTGTGCCATACATAGCTGTGTGGCTCTGGGGACCTTGCTTAGCCTCTCTGAGCCTCAGCTCCCTTCTCTGGAAAATAGGGGCAGTGAGAGATACCTTGGGAGATGACTAAGGGAACAGTAGCTATTATGGTTTTCATAGTAAAATTCTGGAGAACTATGGCGTTACATCCTTTCATAGACAGAAATAAAAACATAGTATTTGCTATTTTTGTACATGTTTTTATGGTTGTCCTTTGCTTACACAACTTTCCCTCTAAGCTGTTTCTTGTGCTATGTCCTTCGTGAGTTCTGTGTTTCAAGGAAATCAGAGGAGCGGGTGAGGAGGCTCTGTGAGGCCTCTTTTGTATGGGGCTCGATGCTCAGGCCAGATCCTCTCCATAGTGTAAACATGGGATAAAACACCATAAGATTACTCCGGGGTGGTATGATGCTCTAGCCAAAAGAACAAGGCATCTAAAAATTTCTTATCACTTTTTTTAGGCTCCTGAGTAAAATAAGATTTAAAAAAATCACATTCATCTATTAGGAAGCAAGGCCATCTGTGAATATTAATGTAATGAACTGACATTGAAGTCACACAAATTTGTGTTACTTACTACGTGTCCTTGAACAAATTATTTACCCTCTCTAAGTTTCCATGTTCTCATCTGTAAAATGGAGATAATAATATCTACCTCACAAGATATATGAAGATGAAATATGTACAACACACTGGCTTAACACAGAAAAGACTCAATAACAGTGTCCCTCTTTTCATTACTATCGTTGCTAATAACTATGATTAGTAAAACTGCCAGTATCATATAGTTAAATGGAATGGATCATAAATATATTGAGAGTGATTAAAGAAAAGGGTATACTGGTTAAGGGACCCTGCTGGTTAATCAAACATCACCAGAGGATTAATATATGACAAAATGAATGGAGCTATTCTGAAGATTGCCATGAGCCTTTGTGTTTCATAAAGACAGATTGAAAAATAAGTTCCTGATACCAACTCATTCATGCAGCGTTTTTCTTTCTTGTTCTTCTCCTCTCTCTTGTCTTCTAAATATAATTATAATTTTTTAAAAACACCTAGTCACTTGACTTTTTTGGATATTTGTATTCTGGGTAAACACCACCACCACCACGGAGAGCAGGATGGTGTCTGCTTTCCCTATGGAATTGCACATGACAAGTCCGTGCTTATCGGTCTAAGGCTGTGCATATCACAGATCACATTCTGGTCTTCGAAGGAGGGCAGAGATGGATGTAGAAGGGTGTGTTGGGTGCCATTCACAACGACTTCATTGCTCTTTGGAAGAATAACCCGCAGATACTAAAGCCCCTTTGTGAACTGTACTGTCAGCAGTGTTTCTGGACTGACGGTCACCCACCCATCAGGAGAACGGCTGGACACTTACTCATTTCAGTGGCTGACTATCCTCAGCACAACTGAAATTTCTGGGAAAGAGTAATCATAACTGAAGCTCACCTATGCTAAAGGCTGCTATTCTCCTATGCCCTCTGAACCATAAATAAAAAGAATTTTTCGGGGCAATGTGTCTGCTGGTGGGTGGGGTGGCATTGGGTCGGGGAGCAGTGGTCTTGCTGGGATTGCTTCTGTGTGAGTCCACACTCGGGCCACTTGTTCCTCTTCCTTTAATGTTCTGGTTTTCATCCAGGTTGTTGCTGCCTCATCTATTCTGAATTTTTACTTTGCTATTTTATCTTGCTTATGTTGAAGCACTTTCTTACCATTGTGTATATCTCTTCCAGTATTTTATTTTTAAAAATGAGCTGATGTCTAAAAATACCAGCAGAGAATGTCAAGAGAAAGAATATAAACCTATTGTGAGGATGGCCTCGCTCCTGAGAAGGGGCGCCCTTTCTCCTGGTTGTGCCTGCAACAGTCAGCTCAGTGCCTCCCCAACCGTGGACAATGTTGCTCCAAAGAGGAATTGCCATCACGCCGGAACTGTGGACCTGAGTTATCCAGAACATCCGCTGGCCAATTCTTGCCCACCAAATCTCTGCCCAGCTGGCTCGCCTTCCTACCCCGCCAGTAACAATATGTCCCCCCACCTAATAACACAACAGAGCCCAACTCTGTACCCCATTTGTAAAATGGGGAAGAATATCTAAAATCCCAGGATTCTTACCACTGTTATATATGATCCAAAGCAGTGGTTCTCAAACTTTCCCCTGCATCAGAATCACCTGGAGGGCTTGTTGAAACATAGACTGGCCCGGTTGATCTGAGGTGGCCCCAAGAATATGCCTTTATAACAAGTTCCAGGTAGTGCTGATGGTGCTGGCCTGGGGGCCACACTTTGAGAACTACTGCTCTAAAATAACAATGGTTCCCTATTTAATATCAATACATTTCATGACTATCCCAACCCCTACCACAATGTTAGCTTTACTTTTCTGAATGTTTTGGGTCTGTTAATTAAAAAAAAATCCATAAATCCAGGTGGCTCTGTAGCCCCATTGTAAAATCTTTCCCCACTGAAAATGCCTCCTCCAACTGCAGTGACACTAGTCTGGTTGGGAGGCTTTGCACTGGCTTAAGACGGGGAGACAGCACATAAACCTTTATGCCAGGAACGAGAGCGTCTGTCTCCACGGAGGACATCGTAATGTAAGTTCCCAGGTTTAAGCATAATGATGAACATTATTACCATATCTAAATAGAATCTACATATAGGAAAAATGTAGCAATGTTCTACTTACTACTAGTAACTGCTTGAAAGGAGCTGTAGTCCATTTTGTAGGTCTGATTGAGGTTCTGTAATACTTGCTCATTCGCTTTATGCATTAATTCAGGTGATGTTGTTTTAGTCGTGACTTCGTATGTCACAACCACACTTCCGGGCCTGGACGGAGACCACTCAGTTCAGTAAAACAGTAACTGACCTGAAAGAGTCTAGACCCTTATGGTTTATTTGCATAAGAAAATAAAATGACAGGAACAGCCCGGGTACTTTTATCTTCAAGGGTTCACTGAAATCAACCTGCTTTCAAAGCTCTAGTTGAAAGCCAAGGCAGGGCTCATAAATGTCTACAGACAGGTAACATAAATAAACAAAATACCAGACAGGGAAGAGGGAACTGAATCACATCAGCAGGTCATAGGGTGGCAGCCACAATGCAGACACCGTTGTCATACAACCATGCTGGCCCGGGGTTACCAGATATGCTGAATGTCAGGTGAAGCCAAAAGCCTGAATGTTTCTGTAAACATTCTTAATTTTTAAAATTGGCAACAAACTTTTAGAAACTCTGTATAAACCCACTCAGGGCTGCCAGAGTGCCCAGCACCAAGGGGAGCCATTCACACAGCAGCATGCAACTCTGCAGTTGTAGCTGGCTGGTCAACTTTCCTTAAATAAAAGCATCATTGCATGACATTATTTCATTTTTATATTTCTGAACTCCCTAGACGACAAGCTTCTCCCAGATCTTTGCAAAATTCTTGCATGCATAAAATGAACACAAGGCTTGTTCTCACCTTCCTTCTAAGTAGGTACATCTGTAAGGAGTGAGCTACTGTTCTTGGTATTTCCTTCCCCTTTAAGGCTGCAATCTGGCATTGTCTTCGCCTCTATCGAATTGCTCCTGTTGAGTGTCCCAGATGATGGCCCTCTAACGGGCTTTTTCTCCTTCACTAATGTGTTGATCTTTGCCAATGGACAGAAATGACCTAATTACAGCATTCTTACCTGAAGCCTGTCACAGTCACCAATTTGAAGCCTGGTAAAATCCGGTAACCTTTCCAGAACTGGAAAATAAAGCAAGACAAGTGTCATGTATCAAGGTCCAGTGGGATATATGTCAAAAGACTTTAAACAGAGTAAAAAGTGTGTTTTCCTTATCACCCTGGGTAAAATTTTCTCCTGTATATGTTGTTAGCGCCAGCATCAGCAGATCTTTGCAGAAGTAATTCCTGTCTACCTATGTCAGTGTGGGTTCTCTGAGAAGCAAACACTAGATTAAATGTGCAAAAAATTTACTCGGGGAAATGCCTAGGAGAGAAAATGTGGAGGCAGCGAGGAAGGCAGGGAGAGCCCTCAGACCCCAAGTGAAAGAGAGCAGGAAGGGAGGTTGGATGAAATCATCCTAGACTGAGCTTGGAAAGGCTCAGTATGGCCTTCAAAGGAGTCCCATGTCTGCCAGACACAGACCTGCCGTGCTCATGCATTAGCAGCGAGCAGCAAGCACTGCCATGGGTTTCAGAAGCAGCAGCTGTGGCCCTTGGTCAATTACATCCCCTGTAGTTGGAGATCTGTGATGGGCATTCACATGGCTGCTACACTGCCTGATCCCTCACTTAACATATTGCAGCACTGGTTGAGCCAATGTGGTTTTTGATGATGTTTTCACTCCACTTTGTTTCTCTGAGTACCAACCCCACAGGAGATTCAATCTGACTCAAGTCACATTCACAGGACAGGTGCAATGTGCAAATTACTGAGCCAGGTACCCAGATGGGTAGGACCCAAGGATTAACATGTAACTCTATCTTTCCTCAAAAGTATATAATTCAGTGTAGTGTGTGTGTGTGTGTGTGGAGGGTTCTCATGCTGTGTAGAACTATAACATGCCAAATATGCAAATCAGATGTCCAAGAGCTCTTCTGTGTCAGCACTTCATCATGGCACCCATGGAAAATGATACTTGTGTGGCACACTGGGGTAAGCTAGAGGCTGCTCCTGGCCTAAGGCAGGGGCTCGGCTGCCCACAGAGCTAAGGGAACTCATTATCCCAGCCCACCTGTAGTAATTTCTGCTACACCAGTTGGGGAGCTCTATTCCAAATGAGTGAACTCAACCATTTAGGTTTAGATGAATTAATCCAAAGTAAAGCACTTTGAATAGTGTCTGGCACACAGTTAACACTTAGGGAATATTCTCACTCAGGGAAGAACACTCAGAGAATATTTTTACGTGAGTAAATTTAAATCTGTCTTAAGTGTGAATGCCTAGGGACCACCAGTATAGAGTGGTTTGGAACCCTCTGAAACTTAGGGCTGGTCTGCCCTAAAAGTGTGATGGGTTTCATCCATGTGTTGTGTGAATACGACTAGAAAGGCATCATCTGGTGCTTCTAGACCAGGTTCTTGGGCCTCTGAATAGGTTTCAGTGAGGTGATACCATCAAATCTTATCTGAATCAATTCTACCCTAGGAAGATGCTCCACCTACAGGTCAAAATGATGTCAAACCATCCCCTGAACACTATTTGAATTGAGCACTTCTTAATTCACCATTCCAGATGTAAAGGAATAATTTTGACATCCACATTCATAAATTCTGAGAGATTCAAGCAAACTATCCACTGTAAATGCAATAGATTCAGTTCAGCCCAAAGAATTTGTTCATTAAGAGGCTCCTAGGGCCAAAACCTACCGCTGTTTCCAAGTCAGTCTTGTAGGACCTATAGAGGGCAGAGGAAGAGTTCCTGAGGTCTTCTTGAAAGCCCACATTGAGTCTGACCGACATTCTCAGGGTAACATCTGCTGAAAAAATACAGGGCAATATTTAAAAATCTCATATTAGCATTTGAGTACACACAGGACAGAGAAACATTTGCTTGAGTTGACATAAAACAGCCATTCAACAAACAAACATTTAATGAGCAGTTACTTACCTCCCCGGAGTTGGCAAAAAGGTCCCTTAGGAGGCAGTCCTTTAAGGCAACTGCAATGATGTCCTGCAGGGGAGTTGCCGTGGTCGTGACATGTGAGATTGTGGAGGCACCTTTCCTGAGGCCACCTATAGCCTGTCTCACAGGAGCACCAGATTTCATTTCCAGTAGGTCTGCAGACTATCACCAACCAGAACAGTGAGGAGAGAGAATGTGGTCACTATCTCTGCATTTATAAACTACAAGTATTTATACTTGTAGGAAATCCTAAGTTGACTCCATATTGCCCTTCTGGGAAGTTCTCTGGCACTGCATGAGATTCCCTTGATTCCTGTATGTATCACCACGCTATTCGGCATGGCCATCCAAAAGGTGACTACTCTGACTATCCATATTAGGGGATGCTTACAATGATAACAAGATAAATAGATTCCTGAACATGGAAGGTATGGTAGCCAGCCTCCAAGATGGCCCCCGACCATCCCTGCCTCTGGGCATTCACACTCCTTTGTAGTTCTCTCTCATATTGTACTCTGGTTGGTCTGTGTGACCAATAGAATATAGCAGAAGTGATGATACATCACTTCTGAGATTAGGTTATAAAAGACACTGTGGCTTCTCTCTTGGTTGTCCTCTCTCTCTCTCATCACCCCCTCTGAGGGAAGCCAGCTACCATCGCATGAGGACATGTCATGGAGTGGCCCACAGGGTGAGGAACTGAGGTCTCCAGCCAATACGCAGTGAGGAACTGAGCCTGCCAACAACCACACAAGTGAGCCGGGACGTGGATTTCCCAGCTCCAGGTGAGCCTTCAGATGACTGCAGTGCTGGCCAATAGCTTGACCACAACCTCATGAGAGACTCTGAGCCAGAGCCATCCAGCTAAGCTCCTCCCAGATTTCTGGCCCTCAGAAACTGTGTGACATAATCTATGTTTGTTGTTTTAAGATGATAAGTTTTGGGGTAATTTGTTATGCAGCAATAGATAACAAATATAGAATACAAATAAAATTGTGCCTTTTACATTTCAATTCAAATGCAAATGGCCCAAACAAAAACTGATCCCACTGGGGACACTGAAAAATGCTCTGAAAATGGTGCTTTGAATTTATTTCTAAAACTGGATCAAAGTCATATTGCTGGGAGCTGTTTGTTCTGCAGATGGGCACCTAGGCATAGGCCCACCAACTGGCCACCCAAAGGAAAACCATCAAACGACTGTTCCTGAAATAGGAGGGACAACCAAGTTCCGTGACTCTTTGGACACTAATGCAGTCCCATGCTCTAGAAGTAGGTGGAGGTTGAGCAGATGCATAAGGAACAGAGGAAATTAGGGATGCTAGTGAGGGAGGTGAACATTGGCTGAGGGTAATTTGAAGGGAGCCAACAAGACTGCCTTTGTCAAACTCTCTCCTACTGACCTGAAATCCCACTACTAAAGCATTTCTTGTTTTGATTTGTCTGTTTTTGAGAGGGATGTGCGGGTAGTATTTGCAGAACTTTTGACTCCCATGTAAAATACAAGCATGCCTTAGGAGGATGGCAAAAGCTATTTCCTCCAGACCACCTACCACATTCCAGATATTGTTTAGTGCTTTACACACATTGCCTAGCCTTAAAAATCCTCAGTTTTGTTTACTATTATCAAAAATGTCTTTCTTGAAAGGATCATTGGTAAGCTGTTCGAGAGTGAGCAGGGGGAAGCATGGGAAGAGGAGAATGGAGAAAATTTGGGGTGCTTAGACATTAGTACCATGGTCAGTAAGTCTAACCTCCATTACCCACCCATCCCATCCACTCCCCTTTGAGGTCAACTCTCCCCAGCCGTCTTGCTGGTCCTGAGAGCCATGAGTCTCAGGCTCTCTCAGTTAGCTATCAGAAGGATTCACCTCCCCAACGTGGGAATGGCCAGTCTTGCTGCCAGGATAAATTAAACTTTCCAAGGGCATTTACATCTTAAAAGAGAAACTTGTTAACCCAAGTTGTAAATTGACTAACCCAACATCTAAACTTGTGTTAACAAGTTCCTAAAATGGTATAAATAGCAGAGCCCCTTGAAGTCATGCCATTTCCAGTAGAACAAAATAAATCAGAGTTTGTCAATATGTCTACATTGAGTGTACATAACATGAACTCACAACTAAAGCTCAAGTATCCATAATCACAAGCTGTTCAATGAAAATAAACTACTTATTTATTTGATAATTACTGGTTTATTTTGTTTACTAGATTTGCTTTCTAGCACCCAAATACACACCCAAGGTTTCCTTAAAAAAAATTGGGAGGCAAAACAAAATTGACTAAAAATCTATCAAAAAATTAATTTTTCCCCATAAATAGAAGCAATAATTTTAGAGGCAGAAGACCTGTGCTGAGTAGGAACATAGAAGGGTGTTTCCTATGTTGCTACAATGTACATTAGTTTTGTGAGATGTTCTATGGAAAAGAGTCCTGTGTGCAAATACATTTGAGGAACACAGAGTAAACTTCCCACTGCTGGAGGACTCACAGTGCATGCTGGCATCCTATCAGAGAACCACTAACTTGAGGAAATTAATGCTAACGTCGAATTTGATGGGAAGTGGCATCCAAAGGGAGCCACAAGGCAGCCATTTCAGGTTCAGGTAGCATATATTAAGAATCAAAAATTAAGATGCATAGACTGATATGGTGATAGACTATTTGAAATATGAGAATTCAAATAGATTTTGAAAAATAAGAATTTTATTTTTGCCTCCATTTTAGAATCATGAAACCCAACATCTGTTACTGCTTTGCAATTTACAAAGCAGTAACCTTTTTTAGGACAAGGGACAGTCCCATCTTACAGCTTCTCAGATGATGGTCCTCTGAGAAATAGGAGAGCTAGCATGACTTTGAAAGAGAGTCAGTGTCCAGAAAATCCGATCCCATAGCCTGGGGGTTTCTGGTTCATGCCTTGCTTCTGACCCAGGCGTGTACCTGGTTCCTATTTCCTGACCCATGATGCCAAAAAGAAGGAAACTTGCTACTTATTAATATCCTCAACCACTCCTTGCTATCTATACCCACTGATTGCCCAGGGGAAGAGGACCCCGTAGTTTGTCATGAAGGACCTGGCAGTATGACCACTTTGCAACAACCACACACAAACCACCAAGCAAACATTTTGCTACCATTTAAAATAAGGAAACTGGCTGCAGAGTTTGCCAATAAGGGCTTCATTCTGGAAGGCTGTGAAGTCATAAAATCAGACCCATAAGGACTGTTGGGTCATTTCACTTGCCTACTAAGTATAATTTTCTCTAATGGTCAGGAGTTCAGACAGCCTTTCTCCTGACATGTCCCATCCTCCATTCTAAAGTGATGGGTCTTTTACTCACCTGTTGTCACTGCTATGCTCAAAATGTTGGTGGCTTGGTCAGTGCTGTTCCCTTGAATTGGAAAACTGAGGCTGTTCAAATGAGCTTTGAGAGGCTCCAGGAAGGAGGCATTTTCAAAACTGATCTCAATGTCAACGGTGTGCTCTTCAGCCGCAAGGCTACTCGAGGCAACTGGAATGAAACCACACGAAGGCTGTGAGAACACACCGTGGGTGACAGAGAGAGAACGTGATGGACATGTCAGCATTTAAGGGTAATTCCACGACCATGTGGATGCTGGACATAACAGCCTTTAAGAATTTCTAATGAAACTTTTTAGAGAAAAAGAAGAGTTTGTCAACTCACCAGTGCCAAGCCCCCCTCATGGCGTTCCTGCTCTATGACCCTACTATTTAAAGGAGAAAGGCAATGCAGTGGTCTCTGGCCATCTGAGAGATTCAAAGGCTGAGCTCAGGACTTGCCCTTCCTCTCCGTGCCCCCCCCCCCTTGGTGTCCCAGGCCAAGGACTGCTGTGTGGAGAATGGACTGTAGGGGGCAAGAATAGAAGCAGGGAGACCTAGCAAGGAGGCCTTGACAACAGTCTAGACAATAAACGCTATATTCCTGACTCACAGGAATGAGTCAGGGTGTTTCCAACACCATTCAATTGACACGCAGGTATTTTGAGAGCTGAACTGTGCATGGTTTGAAGACCTCTGGGAAAAGCCATCCAGTTAATTACCTTTGCTCTAAGCCTATGCACACAGTACGAGCTCTGTGTTCTTACTCTGTAACTCTGGTGTCCAGAACATGATAGGCACTCAACAAAAGCAAAATTGGCAAATTGGAAAGTAAAATAAAAGATATCTTCAGCTCTTCATTGCTTTTCCAAATTGTCTCTAGGCTGGTTAACTGGCTGGCATTCTAGCTGAATCTGCTCCTCAACACATGCCTACTGCAGGCAAGCCGGACAATATACATTGGAGTATTCTTTCATAGTTTCCTGTATTACACTGTCTGGTCCACTAGGTGTAAGCTTCTCAAGGGCAGGAACTATTTCTTTCACTTCTCACAACCTTACTCCATCTGGCACGGAGCTCACCACAAACAAATACATGCCCAATTAGTTCTTGTTAAACCTGTGACTCTCTGTTACTGCTAGAATCTTTGGCTCATTCTTGGCTGAAACACGTAACTGGAGCAGAAGCCATGGGCTAGGTTAGTAGTTAATGAAGAACCTTCAAAGAATAGGAGAATTTTTTACACAGCTGTGTTAAGAAGACCAATTGTGGCTTTTCTTGTCAGTCAAATAAGAAAAAGATTAGTGAATACTTGCAAAACCATCACTTTAAAATTTAAGTCAAACCTGAAAATATGATGTATATTTTACCATAAAATTGAAATTCTACGTCCATTTTCTAAAAGGGCAAAGAATTTTCCCGCAATATTGCAAGATTTGTTTTAAGTTTCCCAAGGAATATTGATGTGAAGCACTAAAATAGAGTAAGTTTATTATGAGAAACTCCCACTGATAAATGTTTGTTGCAGAAGGCTATAACATTTGTTCACTTAGAGTTGTAAACTATATTTGTCTTAGAAGGTTGGTTTTACTCATCAATCTTGAGAATTTTTTCATTTTGGCATCATTCAACTTGCTGTAATTAACTCAAACTGTCTCAAAAAAAAGTCTTTGCAGATTTCGTTAAAATTAAGAATGCATATTTCGGTATATTTCCTCCTTATAAAAATGTATTTACAAGTAGAACAAAGTGACTTTTAAAACCAGTGTGGAATCACAGTGTCTAGTGATACGTGGGTTTGCCTTAAATTTCCTGTTTTCTCTCTGATTCTCAAGCGTTTAGTGATGGAAACAACCTTCCTGGAAGAAATGCTAATTTTATTTTGCGTGATCCTAACTCTAGACACAGTATGTTGCCTGCTGGGGGCATTTGCAAGGAGGGCTGCTGCATGGTATTTACAAGGTCTGCCTTAGAGCACATTCTTTTTCCTGAAAAGTACTGCAGCAATGTTTATACCCTCCAGAGGATTCACTGGCTCCAGGATCCTCTTTGCCGTGGTCAGTCTACTCTCCTCCCATGAATGTAAACAGGATTTCCTGGACGGTAGCTGCTTTTGAGATGAGTGAGATCAATAACAATTCCCTATCACCCACTTCATCATCTGCATTGTTGCATCCCAGGGTCTGATCCCAGGATAATATCACCGCTGCCTGAGGGCAACGTCCATCCCTGAGCCCACCCGTCTGTGCTCTTTACAGACATAATTGTAGGACAAGCATGTGCCTGGAAAGCACATGGTGATTCATGGATGTCATCATTCCTCACCAAACTAAGGCAGTTCTTCCACTGAGATATTACAAGGAGCTGAGCCAAAAGCTTAAAATACCCAGAGGGAAGTTCCTGTGGCTTTAGTGAGTTCCTGTCTAAGGGATTTGTGCAGCTGTTAATTAAAGCGCCAGCCTCTAAGACTCTCTTTCTCTCATCCACCGTTTCTGTTCTTCAACAACTTCTAAGGGAGTTTCAGAATGGCCCTCAGCCTGAGCACAACTTCCCCCTAGAGACCGATAAGGATGAGGAATTTCTAATACAGAAGGAAATGTCTTTTCCATGAACATAGTCAATTCTTCAAAACAGGCTCAAAAACGCCATAGTAACTCAGAAGGCTCCGGGCTGGCCCTTGGAAATCATCCGGTACAGTGGTCCCCACGCTCGACTGATGATATACACACCCAGGGAATTCTACACACACAGATATTCTGGTGTCTCAACCCAGGTGGGCCAAGGTAGAATCTCTTTGGGTTAGGCCAGAAATCTGCATTTTTTTCAATTCCCACTGGTGATTCCGGCGCTCAAGCAGGTTTGGGGTCTAACGTTCCAATCCAAATGAGGAAATAGAGAAGGTAATCCCGGAGAGCCAATATTAGCACCTAACTCTGCCTTTTTTTTGGTTTTGCATTGCTTTTTGTTTCAGACACCTCCTGCTGCTGCTCCTGTGGGGCAAACAGTCAGAGAGTCTCCAAGCATCCTTGTTTACCTCCTTCTTCAGTGATCCTGGATGGATCAAAGGTGATTATGATAAAAGTAGCAATAATAATAGCAGCTGCCATTTATCTAGTGCCTGGTGGGTTCTAAGGCCATGAGGACAGTGTGCATACACCCATTTTGCAGATGATGACACTGAAGTTTAAGTGATTGAAGCCACATGGATAGCAAATATTAGAGCTGGGATTTGAGACCCCAATGTTTCTGGCTCCAAAGTCCATTTTCTTTTAACTATCCCCTGCCACAACTAAATTGGAAGAAGATAATGAAAGCGACCACTTTGTAAACCCTAAGGTACTGTAAAAAATATAAGGTATTATTGTTAAATGTGTCTTTAGTATTCGGTGTGCAATTCCTACAGTAAATTTTAAAATAAAATCAAATACAAAGGCAAAATTATTAACAATAAATGGAAAAATTATCTAAAACTTTGTTGAATTCAAGTCATCATAATAAATATCTTAAAAATCTGCAGTGAGGAAAAACACGTTGTGACCCACTGCCATTGAAACTCATGGCTTTTGACATTAAGCCTTGCTAGGTTTATCTGTCTGTTCCCTGATTTATTGATTTATAGGTAACTTCACTGTTTACTGAGTGCCTACTTCCCAGGCACTGTGCTGGGTGCTGGGGACACAGGGTGACTAAAAGGAGCAAAGCTGTACTTTCATGGATCTTCCATGCTCGTGCAGGGGGCAAACAGCACGTTCAAACTTCAATGTCAGGCAGTTCTAAAGGGCTTGGAGAAAAATAAAGCAGGATAAGGAAACAGAGGGGCAGGCAGAATGGGGGTGGAGTGTTGTTTTTTGTAGAATGATCAGCAAAGACCTTTCTACAGCAGTAAACGTTGAGCAAAGAAGCAAATGATGTGAAGGGATAACCATGCAGATATCCGGGGAATATCACCCCAGGAAGAGAAACAGGCATGGATGCCTGGAGACAGCAACTTCCATGGCTTGTTTGAGGCGCAGCAAGAAGATGTCCCTCCTGATTTGGGTCATTCCTTCTCAGCTAGAGTATCATGGTAACTATGGGCAAGCAGAAGACAGAACCACGCTGGGCCTCTCGTCCGTGTAATGCCCCAGGGTGAGTGTCTGAGCTTAAGGGTGGTAGCCCAGATGCTCAGGTGTCAGGATGATCCAAATATGGGTGGGATCAGAGGCCCACTTTGCTCACAGGCCTCAGACAGATTTGGGGTAGAAATGCCAAACCCTGTCCACTTCGCCTCTCTCAAACCTGAGGACTTCAGAGCTTGGGAAGGTGATGATGTCTGTTCCGCCCCAGGCTACAAGGGACCCGGGAGGAACAGAAGACAGTTTCCCCACCTCTGTGTGAGGGTGTATTTTAGAGGTCCTTCCATGCTCCTCTGCTGCCTCGGGGCCATCTGATTCCAGACAGTTTAATGTGTTTTCTTTTCCTCAGGCTCCTTCGCCCTGGTGTTGTTTGTCTGAATTTCTGTGACTCACCGATGCCTCGAGTGGAAGGTAGCACATTCCAGGTGTCATCAGTGTCACAGATGGAGCCTATCGGCAGGCCCAGCAGACACAAACAAACCAGGATTTCCCCCCTCCTTTCCCCTCAATCACTGCTTGCCACACAGCACTTATCTTAAAGAGACATTTCTGGAAAGTTGGCTACAAACTGAGACAAGCAGTTCTGGGTCTTAATTACAGCTGTTTAAGCAAACAATACTATTTTTGCGTGGCAACTCTAATGGGAATTATGGCTTCTCAGAAGGCAGAGTCTAAGTAGATGCACAAATTAATCTCACACCTGCAAAAGCATGAAGCCTGCGATCCCAGAAGAAATGAGATTAGTGTGGTACTCTCTTGACTGGACAATGCTTCTTTACCACTGAAAATTTGGCTCTCTTCTTTCTCCCCCTTAGTCCCGCAGCAGGTAAATATTAAAAGATGCCTGCTCTTCTGCTTGTTTGTTGACACGTTCTAGTAGGTACCAATTTGGCAGCATCATCTATATCCTACTGTGCCGTTGTCAGCAGATAGTCAAAGGATCTTGTTCTCCCTTTGGGTTTTGGAAAGGTTTGTTCACACGGAGGAAAACTGCCAGCACCCTAGGTGATAGCTTACCTGGCAGGTGTGGATGGAGGAGACAGTGGGCAGTGCTGTGTCATAAAACACTGGGCTGTGAAGTCTGGAGAAAAGAATCAACTCTACTAGCTGGTCATATACCCAAATCATCAAAGTCAGCCCCATATAAAGTTCTTTTCCTAGCAAGAGGAAGATAGTGGTGCCAGGGCTCCTTCCTCTACAAAGCTGCTTTAAGAATCAGGGAATGGACTCTCAAGGGCAAGAGCCAGAAACACATGCTGAAAACCATGACTCTTAACTATGAGCATGGACTTGAGAGCCAGAGGGAGCTGGGCAGGCCATCTCACCTCTGTGAGCCACACTTTGCTCATCTGTAAACTAGAGGTAATATTTTTTCTGCAGAATTGTTACGGAGTTTGGATACTATATGAAGACCCCTAGCAAATAGTCTGGCATATAGTAGCCATTCTGAAATAGCTGGTAGAAATAATAATATTTATTATAATAAATGTAATGATTATATTCTATGCAGACATCTGCTGGTAGGTCAAGACAAACTAATGTTATTCCAATTGGGTCTCACCTTTGAGATAGTTAAACAAACAAACAACATTAATCAGAAATTAAAAGAAAAAAGCACTTCCAATATTGAAGGTCCATTCTAAAACCAAACCCAAATGTCAGGCTGAGAGCTCCCAGCCTTCCCATCTTACTCTGCCACCACTGCCACCTGCTCAGAGCCCTAAATGACACATGTTATCACAAGAAAGATTAAAGCCATGAAAATCCCCAAATCTGTTCCTCGACCTGGAAAATGCACAGAGTTTCCTGGACCCAGATCAAAAAGGTCCAGCACTTTGGGGCTGCCAGGTCTGCGGGAAGGTCAGGATTTCCGCCCTGGCAGCCAGCAACCCTGTCTGGGAGGAACCTGGCTCTACTCAACAGGTGTGAAAGTGTAAGCACTTCCAGGGCAGGGTGAGGACATCCTGGAGCTCCCTTTCTCGAAAATTGTCTCCTACCAGCCATTTCTTTTGAACTCAGAGAAGAACCAATGGGGATTCTTCAGCCAAGGGCCCAAGACACATTCCCAATCAAGCTCAGAAACCTGGCGTGGAGGACTCCACAAATTGACAGAGACGACACATTTGTGTAACCAATAAGAAACTTCCATCTCCAGTCCCCTATAAAGACTACTCTGATGGCTAAATTTTGTGCTTATTGGCAAACCTCCAAGATTTTCATTTCAAGTCCAGTTTCTACCTGTGGCCTCCACATCCCTCAGTCACCCAGGTTTGAGCACTCTTGGAGTGTCACATGGACCCTCGCTTCCCTTCACCCCCAGGGTCAAATCTGTCTCCAAGTCCTTTTGATTCACTTCTCTAATTGTCTTTCACAAGCATTCCCTTTCCTTCTCTCCTATTTCACTCCAGGGGCCAGGGCCGATGATGGGCCACGCTGCTGAGCCTCCTCACTGGTCTCGTGACGCTAACTTCTTCATCTAATTCATTCAGCCATAACCACCTGGCTAGTTTTCACTTCAGATGGCTTCCATCAGTCCATTCTCTGTGCCAGCCTCTTAGCTCATCCAGAATCCACTTCCCGGTGTAATCAGGACATAATTCTGGATGCTTTAACCCATTCTTATTTCCCTTTGCTGCCCAACAGCCACTCACCTCTAATAAGTAGATCCACACTTATTCTTGCCTCTGGCCTCTGGGTTTTGTGCAGGCTACTCTTCCTCAGCAGAGTTTTGAAATCATTTTGCTAAAATGCTAACTCCTATATCATGGCATCCATCCTCCTGCCTTCAGTAGTTATATGGGAACTTCCCTGCACCAGGACTATTTCAGGCTCTTTCAGATGCAATATTGTTTTTACAAATAAATCAATTAACTTTGTTTTTAATAAAAAAAACTATCAAAACAAACAAAAAAACAAATAAACTCTCAGATATCCCTATTAACATTTTTAAAAGTAATATGTACATAATATTACTTAATCCTCTCATCAACCCTGTAAGGTAATAGCATATATATATTTGTATGTATATATATATATACACGTGTGTGTTTGTGTGTGATATATATGAGAATATATGTATATATATCTCAAGGGCCTGGTGAAGCTCTATAACTAACCAAAGTGAACTTAGGGAGAAGTCCATAGTGCTCTGAGAATAAATATGAGTATTGATCCTACCTTTAAAGATGATTCTATCCCAAACCCTAAAGATTTGGTCCAGTGCCTCAAAAGGAAATTCCCTTTGAGAACTCTCTTTCTGTTGGAACCTTCGTTTGTCCCTTTCTGGCATTAAGCCTCCAGAAAGGGAGATGTATGTATATGAGAAAGGAAATTCCACTCTGAAGATCAGAGCCCCATCCTATCATCTCACTTAATTATCACACCGAGCAGAAGCCGGACACCTCTGTGCAGCATCTGCTGAACGTAACTCTCCTGTTGCTTTCTTTCACAGTTTTCCTGGAGAGTGATGCTCTTAACCTCAACTTACATTCTGGGTGTCTGCTGCCTGATGCCCAAGTCTTTCCAAGGCCGTGTCTTACTTCAGTGATTTTGTGAAAGTACCAAGGCCAATCCATCTTCTGCAGATGATGGGTTGAGTCATTAACACTTCTAAAATGACTCTAGAGGCCCAAGAGCACAGAGGACCATGTGTAATAAGTGGAAAACATGTTTTCATGGTCATGATTGTTTTTAATGAAAGCACGCTTGGAAAAATTTTGGAAAGTCAAATCCTTAGATGTAGAAGTGGTTTCCTCCTCAAGGGCTAACCTCTCACGATGTTGCCATGGTTCATAAACAGAGATGAAGAGCTCGGATGTGCAGGAAGACCTTACTTTTACAGCTGTACCGTCACCGACTGCCCTGAGCAAGCTGGCAGCCTGAACTCTAGAAGAAGCTGGCAGAAACCTGGAGCTAGAACTCTCCTGCAAATATTTTGATTTTAAAAAGAAAAGTCCTTCAAAACACCAAATGGGTACATCTCTGGCCCTGTTTCTGTCACAGGTGCAGGAGGGCTCAAGAGGTTATCAGGGATGGGGTAGATGTAATGATACTTGCTTTGAAGCACAGAAAGTGCAGTCTGTACTACAGACGGCTTCAAGGAAGGAAGGGAGAAAGGGGGAGTGAGGTTCCCGTGGGGATGTACAACAAGGCTGAAACAGAAAAGAATAGGAAGAAAGGGAAGAGAAAATGATCAGTGATATGACCTTTCAATGAGCATTTCGAGAGCTGCGTAAAGTGTGGTCAAATTCTCGTTTCAAGCTCTGGGCAACAGCTGGGTCTGGTTGCTGCACTGTGAGGGGCTCTGACAGACACCTCTATCCTGACCTCAGGGTGAGCCCGCTCTCTTTGGCAGCCTACTGTCTCTCTCAGACCACAAAACTGAATAGACCAAGTCACAGCATGCCTGGAAAACAACTCCATCACAATGCTCTAGGTTAGAAGTTTTACTTTCTACACAGTTGGTACAGCCACTAGGCCAGCTGACTCAGTGGTAGGAACATACTCTCTGAACCCATAAAGAGGCAGTGATGATAGAGACTGCACTCTCTTCGTTTGTCCACTCATCTATTGAGAAACCAGGCCACAGAGATGAAGAGAGTCCAGGGGAGCTCATGTCTGCTCGGGAAGGCAAACAGGAAGCAAAGTAATTACAATGCATCGGGACAGATGTGCTATGAGAATGTATGAAGACAATGGGAATACAGAAAACAGCCCCTCCCCGTCCGGGGAATTGGTGGAAAGCCTTATAGGGCAGGAGCCCCTGTGAACCGTGTGAACCGAGGCTTAAGTCAGAGTCCCCAGAGGAGCAAAGGGGGGTGGTGAGTGGGGCATCGACTATATGAAAGGAACAGAAGGAGAGCAAGTGGAAAAAGCATGTAGGGTCCAGTAAGACTCGAGTGGGTGATAGGATTTTATCTCTAAGGCAATTGGGAGCCATGAAGGATTTTATGCAGAGAAATAACAGAAGCAGACGGATGTTTTTGAAAGGCTGCCGTGAGGAAAGTTGGAGGGTCTGGTCCCAGGAGAATCCAGCCTGCAGACACACACAGACACCTGCCCAGGGTCCCAAACATGGGACAAGACACCGAGGATCAGTGTGCGAGTGTTCACAGCTCTCACCTGCCCTCCGCCCTCCAGAGGGCAGAGCCTATATTTTCCAGGCCACTTCTTTGGAATTTAGCAGGAAAATTGGAGTGGGAGACAGAGGAGAAGGACTTGAGTCTAGTGGTTAAGTTGATCCACAAAATAAAGTGCTGAGTGAGAAGAAAGAGGTTAAAAAATTTTAAAAAGGCAGAAGAAAAGGCTGCTGGGTGGAGAGTAGAGAAGCAGGCCTTATGGTGGGGGGGAGGGCAGCTGAGGGCAGAGCCCCAGGGAAATCTTCAGGATATGAGGAGCGGGGAGGGAGAGGAAAGGGGATTGTAATGTGTTGCTAAGATTCATTTAATGTCGTCTGATAGAGTAGAGAATGGAGTTCCTTTGTAATTACTTCTAGAAATTGAACCCTGATGTGCTTGGAGACTGAATTATGTGGATCACAGTGTTTTGAAAAGTTATAGCAAATGCCATTTGATCCGACTTACTAGAAAAGATTGCCAAGCAGAGGTTACATACCTGCTCGTTTATGCCTTGGTGGCTCCTCCCCTGCTGGTTCATGTTCATGGAGAATCTGAAAGAACGTTTTAGAAAACCATCAATTAGTGTTAGAGACTAGAGATTGATGGATCTATTGTTGCTTCCTGTGGCAGGGGCTAGGACGGCCAGCTCCAGAGTCAGACAGCTTGGGTACAAGGCTGTGCCACTTACTAGCTACGTGACCTTGAGGAAGTTATTCATCCTCTTTAAGCCTCAGTTTTCTCTTCTGTAAAATGGAATAATGACAGTACTGACCTCATAGAGTTGTTATGAGAATTAAGGCTTTCTGTCACATGCCCCAAAATGTTAGAGCTGAGCTTAGGACTACAGATTCTGGGTTAGCCCCTTGTGCCTGGTGGATGCTGGGCAAACAGCAATTGAACGGTGGGGAAAATGAAATGGAGTCGCGTCTGTAGTGTGAGCCGGGAATCCACTTTTCACAGACCAGTCTCTAGATCAGGAGCGGAAGAAATCACCATATCTGAGTTTCTCAGAGTTCCTGCAGTTTGAGACCTGTCAAGAAATATAACTTATGATGTTCTCAACTTGTGTTCTCTGCCTAAGATGGGAGCCCTGAGTCATTCCAATGACCTTCTTGACAAGTCTCACGACCTCTTCTCAGCACTCAGCCTGTCCCCTCCCTAATATTTCTGCAGCGCTAGGGCTGTTTAGATTGTGCACAGTTAGAAATGATTTTCTCCTCCTCTGGTCCTTTTTCTCCCAGAGGGATCTATTGCTGCTTCCTGTGGCAGGGGCTAGGAGGGCCAGCTCCAGAGTCAGACAGCTTGGGTACAAGGCTGTGCCACTTACTAGCTACGTGACCTTGAGGAAGTTATTCATCCTCTCTAAGCCTCAGTTTTCTCTTCTGTAAAATGGAATAATGACAGTACTGACCTCATAGAGTTGTTATGAGAATGAAGTGAACCACAACGTGGCACATAGTAAGCCCTTAATAAACTTTAGTTGCATCATATAGTACAATGGTTAAGGGCAAGGACTCTGCAGACATTGAGTTCAAATCCTAGCTCTGCTATAAAATGGCTGTGTGACCTTGGGCAAATTATTTAGTCTGTCTGTACCTCATTCCTCCTCTATAATATAGGGATAAAAATAGCCTACCTCGTGCAGTTGTTGTGAGGATGAAACGATTAACAAATATAAAGCAGTGAGAATAGTTTTTGTGACATAGGAAGTGCTGTTCCAGGACAGGGCATCACTGTTCTGGGGGCACCATTCACATGGACCCCCTCTGTTCACACACTGTCACTTGCTTCTTCTCTAGAAAGCTCATCTCCTGTCATCCTGTGGCTTTTTTGTTTAAGAACTGATGTTGACTGTCTTTGCTGTCTGGCTCACTGCCAGCTCCGCAGCTGGTAACCTTGACCTGACATGGGTTCCCAGCTCATCCTGCCTCCAGGTGGGTTTCCCTGTAATGTGCTTCCCAATCCAAACTCCCGTCAAGGCTCAATAGAAGACCCCACCTTTCTGAAGTCTCCCCAGGTAACCCCTGCCCCCCGGGGGAGTGTCCTTTACTCCACATGCCTGTGAACACCACCCGAGGCAGAGCTCATTCTGCCATCTGGGATGTCTACCATTATTTTCTAGTTATCTCATGTCATAATGATACAAAAATAATAATTCCTAAGATGTATTCAACACCCTGTGCCAGGCACTGTTAAGTGCTGGATGTGTGTTTACTTACTTAATTCTCACGACAATCTAAGATATAGTTTATCCACATTTCACTGATGAGAAAACACAGGCACAGAGAGGTCAAACAACTTGCGTAAGGTCACCCAGCCTTTAAATGGCAGAGCCAGGCCTTGAACCCAGCTAGGCCGGCTCCAGAGTCTGCACTTGGCCACACAGACATTGCATCCTCCTATCAGGAGACGTCTGGGAAAACTGTGGGTTTGTCTCAATGACCTAGTCTTTCCTACCTAGCACTTTTTCTCTTTCTTTCTCTATTGCCTCCTCCTATCCCCTCTTTCTTGTCAATGACTGGTACTAATGTCTATGGGAACTGGAGGGAGACGTGTACCTGATCATTCATAAATGTTCTTGAACGGACTAGAGGAATGATGGGTCATGACTGGAATTTCAGAAGCCCAGGTGCTGCTTCACATGCAGCACGGTTGTCTTAGCTGAACTGAAATGAGCAGGGACGGAGAAGGAACGAAGTTGATGCATAGGGCTGGTTCCTCCCCACCTTCCCCTGGAGCCTGTTTTGGCTTTGTGCCCAGGCAGAAGGAAGGGTTCTTACTCTGCATTCCTGCCTCCATCGTCCCTGGGGCCTGGGGGTAGGGAGAGGGAAGCTACCAGGAAGCTTTCTCTGTCCACTCTTCATGGGCTGTGGTTGGGGGACTCAGCCCAGGAGAAAGTGACCACCGGCGGTCACCTTTGGGCAGCTCTCCCAGGTCGAGATTTCAATTTCTCCATTTTCCAGAGGGACTGAAAAATTGAGGACTTCCTGCCTATAGTTGTACATTAAAATCAAGGTCCACTTCAATTCTCTCGTGAAGAGTATTTCAAATCTTTTTGGGCACAAGGGCTACTTGCCTCCCATCCCCATAATCTGAATTAGCAGGTCTGGGGTGGGGCAAAGAAAACTGCCTTTTGTGTGTGCGTGTGTGTGTGAAGAAGACTGGCCCTGGGCTAACATCTGTGCCCATCTTCCTCTACTTTATATGGGACACCACCACAGCATTGCTTGACAGGCACTGCGTTGGTCTGCATCGGGATCCGAACCTGGGAAACCCCGGGCTGCCCAAGCGGAGCGCGTGCACTTAACCGCTGGGCCACTGCGCCGGCCTGAAAACTGCCTTTTTAACCAGCACATCCCTCAATGTGAGGCCACCTTTTGAGAAACACTGCTTTTTAACTATTTCCTGAAACTTTATAGTGATTATCTGGAACTTTCAGTCTTTGCAAAGTGCTGTTTCCACAACTCTGTGTCACCTACTGCCTCTCTGTTGTCTAGTGAGGATTCACAACATTTTGTGAGAATAACCTACCTTTTATTTTGAGCTCCATAATCATTGGGGAAAATGGAGGAAAAATACATTGAAAGCAATAAAGCCTCCGAGGAGTTCCCTGGCAGTGGTTGCGGTGGTGGTGAATACCCTTGCTCTCCCAGATTAGAGAGGGTACAAAGAGCTGGGCTGCCAAGTCGTGGGGCCTGGATTTCAATAAGGCGAATGCTGGAGTCACACCAAGAACTCAATGCCACGCCTCCACTTCTCCCTAGCGGGAAAAGTCGTTCACTCATGCTAAGCCTCATGTTCTTACGTTATGAAAGATAATGCGCCGAGGTACACCACATGCTGGTGCCATCTCCGGCAGCGGTGTGTCCCCTTACGTCCAGCTGGCCTGGGGCTCACCAGGAGCCAGCCTTGTCCTCTCAAGTCTTCATGTCACCCAGTTTGGGGAACTGTGAGACTCTAGCACTTGCCTTCTCTCTTAAACTCCAGGTGCTGAGGAGAACTCATGGGGGAGCACAGATCCTGCCAGGGCCTCCCAGTGCTCAGCTGAGCACTTATTCCAGACAAGGAAACGGAGCCTCCGGTGGGGCCTCCCTTTGCTTGTCCATATAGAGGCACCCAGATGAGTGTCTGAGCAACAATGGCCAGCTCTGTCCAGAGGGGATTTCCTGATGGCCAAGCTTTAGTCGGAAGACACAAGGTCACCAAATCCAGGAAATGCCCCACCTGTTGGACGTGATGACTTTACAAATAATTGTGTGTAGGGGGTGTGGCCGGGACGTGGACAATGTCAGGAATGAGAAGTGACACTTTACGTGTAGAAAAGAAAATCCCCAGGGAACTGGATGACAAACAAGGTGGTCCTCAAAAACCTCAGCGGTCGCCAGGCCTCACCCCTCCCCGCCGAGGCCCTGTCACTCACTCTCTTTGTTTTGACCTGGAATCCCCAATTTAACATCTTTGCCTCCATGTTTAGCAATTGTCTCCACAAGGGTCCTGTTGGAATGTCTCCTCACACAGGCATATTAACGCAGGTCTATTTGCACCAAAGTAGTAAAAATAACCAAATCTTAAGTACTTGCTCTGTGCTAGTCACTGGGCCAAGGCACACATGTATGAGAATGTTTAATCCTAAGATTAATGTGACTCAGTTTCCAAGGCTGGTGAGGGTCAGGGCCGGGCTTCAGACTCAGGCTGGTGCCAGCTCTGAGAGCCCACAGCCTTGCTGCTCCAAGTGTGGTCTCTGGAGCAGGGACAAGGGCAACTTGTCAGAAATGTGACATCCAGGGCCCCACTCCAGACTTCCCAAGTTGAAATCTGCATTTTAGGAAGGTGCCCAGGTGGATTTATGCACACACTGAAGTTTGAGAAGCTACAGCATCACATTTCGTAAGACCGTCACCTCACATTTGTACACTCGCGTTCACAGCAGCATTGTTTGCAATAGCCAAGGGGTGAAGGCAACCCAAGAGTCCACTGATGGATGAATGGATAAAACAAATGTGGGATATACACACAATAGATCATTATTCAGTCTTAAGAAAGGAAGGAAATTCTGATGCATACTCCAACATAGATAAGTTTTTAGGACATTATGTTAAGTGAAATAAGCCAGTCATGAAAAGACGAATACTATATGATTCCACTTATATGTGGAACGTAGAGCAGTCAAAATCGTAGACACAGAAAACAGAATAGTGGTTGCCAGGAGCTGGGGGGAGGGGGGATGAGGAGTTGTTGTTCAACAGGTATAGATTTTCAGTTTTGTAAGATGAAAAAGTTCTGTAGATCAATTGCATGACAATGTGAATATATTTAACACTACTGAATTATACACTACTGAATTATACTGAAAATTTAAGACGGTAAATTTTATGTGTATTTACCACATTTTTTGTAAAAAAGCTCATCACCACATGTTGCATTAACTGGGAGAAGGCCAGCCGTGGGAGTTGAGTGGCAGCCTAGGGCACTATAAGCTGATAAGACAGGCTTGAGTGCACCTCTCCAATAGGGTCTTTGGTCTTTGGGCTGTATGAAGATATTGTGTCTTGAAGGCAGATCTAGGGGGGAAAAGCAGGGCCCTTTAAGGGGTTGGTGGGAGCTTCCAGGAAGATGAAGGTCAAATTCCACTAGCAGCCCTGGGAAGTCACTGGCTTATCCCCTGACCCGCCTGTGCCACCAGCAGATGGAGGGGCTTTGTAGGGCCTCTGTGATGAAGGCCACCCTGGCACAGTGTCGGGACGCTGCTGCAGCCATGAACATAAGGACACACTGCAAGAGAGGGAAAGCTAACCGCCTTGCTGAGACCCCCTCGCTCACTGGTTTTCTCCCCCACGCTGGGATAACCGGAGCTCTGCACGGACTCCAAATTCCCGGGAATCGTAACTGTCTCCTGCCTCTATTTCTATGAGCAACCTGCTGTGTGTGACTGCACGGGCTGCACCGTGCACACTGGAGTTTGAAAGAAGAGACACACTGAGTACACCTCCCAAGTCATGAGAGAAATACAGGGAAAGACAAAGAAAGCCCAGGTCAAACAATGAAAAACACACAAACAGAAAGGAGGAAGGAAGTGCATGAAGTCAGCAAACAAAATCCTGGAAGTAAGAGCAAGCATTTTAAATACGTCATTAAATGTGAATCAATTATACTCCCCTAATCAAAGTCAGATGTACTCAGATGTGATTTAAACGGAAAAAAAGACCTGAAACATGTGTTGTTTATAAGAGAACCGTGAAAGCAGAGTGATACATTAGAGACTAAACAAAAAATAAAAGACAAAAATCAAGCAAACACAAATATGAAACCAGGATTGACAACTGGAATAGAAGACAAAGAGTTAAAATGAAAAAGTGCCAAGCAGGGCAAAAAGAGACATTTTACAATGCTAAAATCTACCAATGAAGCTCTAAGAATAGCAACAGACTAAATAAAGTAGTGCTAAAATATCTTTTAAAAAAATCAGTAGAAAAAAATACCATTACAGTAGGAGAAATAATAATAGCAAACAGTGACATAGCATTTATGATATGTAGGGCACTGGTCTAAGGCCTCTTATAAATATTAACTAATTTAACTCTCATAGCAATCACAGGACAGCAGTACTATTATTGTCATTGTTTTATAGATGAGGAAACTGAGACAGAGAGAGAATTACATCAGTCTCCCAAGATTTCATACCATACCCTGTCTGTGGCACATTTCATAATCAGTACCATACCCTGTCTCCTTAGAGTGGTCTAAGGAAGCAATAATCCAATAATTCCCATAAGGAATAAAGGGGTACTTATCACCCCCTTCAGTTAAGCTCAACTCTCTTTAACTTCTGAAAGACAAAATGACCTGGATAATTTGTCAGCCAAAAGCTCAGATGATATCTTGTGGCCCCTTCAGCTAGATCAGTCTGAGACTATGACACACCACTGATAACGTCTTTTAAAATGTGTTCTAGCCTGATGCTCAAGTTCAAATGAATCCTTTGAGAACATCCGTCCTTCTCAATCCTCCAATCTGCTTTATAGTCATTGTTGTCAGTTTCAGAGTGGAGCTTCAGGCCTAGAGGTGGCAATTTAATTAGGAAGGGTTCCCTGTGTCCCACCCACCACCGATTTCAGAGTACCACAAGCTGTAGCCCAGTTGATACCTAACATCCACCTGCTCACCACCCCCTCCTCCCATTTGCAACATTTTCTCAAAGGCCCAAAAAAAAGCAATTTCCGTCTGTGACATTCCCAGGAAATCAGAGAAATATGACAGGGGAAAAATGTAGCAGATATGGATTTACTCACCAAAGGATGAACAATAGACTCTAAATTCAAGTTCAGTGTAGCTTGGGATGAATAAATCACAATAATCATGAAGCACAAAGTGGTTCTCCTTGCAGATTTCATTTCTTCAAGTTTGGGTTGCTTTGCCTGAAATGGAAATACGGTGGTTTAGAGACAGAGCCATTTATTTAACAAACATGGGAAGAACTAGCAAACCCTGTCTCGAAGGTCACACTACAAAAAGACCTTTTCATAGAGAGGGGAAAGGAAGGAGTGTAAAGGCACCTAACTGTAGAGAAGAGTCTCTGCTCCCGACCCTTGGGTGAGGAAATGATCATGTCAGGAGGGAGGGGGTTGGGTGGATGGAGGATGGTTCCCATAAATAGGACAAAGGTGGCAGAGGTTTGGGTACATTTCCTTACACATGGAGAAGGAGAGAGAGAAGGAAAGAGAAAGGAGAAAGAGGAGAGAGAAGGAAAGCAAGAAAAAGGGAAAGACTACTCAGAAATCCTTTTAACATTGTCATCCAGTACACGTAATATATGAATGAAAGGATTCAGAGAACAATACTCACCTTTGCTACATGCAACACACTCTGATATTTACAATTGTGGTCTATCCTAGCTTACCCTATTTTTTCTTTTAATTCTGGTAACAACCCATTAAATTGACTTTTATTACTATTATTTGTTATTTATATTAATGGGCTTTTATTATTTTATTTATTATTTATATTAATGAGCTATGATCCATTAGTATGAAAAATCCTGGACTTCGTCATAAAAATCTAAGTTGTATTCTATAGTCTTTTATCATAGTATAGTGATATAGTATAGAATATTAATATCATAATATATTCCATCTTATGTATTGATTTTTGACAGCAATCTCTTTATAATGATGGTGACAAAAATGAAGTTTTTTGGTGACCAGGTTACTCATTGTTGCTGTTAAAAAGTAGAGTACCAGATGGAATCATCCCAACACTCGTGGGTCTGGGGACCAGGACAAACTACTTTGCTCAGATTCCTTTCCTTACTGACTTTTCTATATCTACGCATTGTTGTGAAAAGGGCTCTAGACTAAGAGAAGAAGATACGGGTTAGATGCAGGCTTATTCTAACCTAACTGTGCTTCCGTGAGCAAGTCACATCTTCTCTGAGTTCATGTTTCCCCACCTGTGAAATGGAGATCATTATATCTCCTCTCATTCTCTCACAGAGTTTTCTGAGGCTCAAATGCAATTAAAAGCCGTGAGGAGCTCCGGGGATACAGGCTGCAATGGTTTTCACCCTGATTGTTAGTGGAATCCAGAGGGCAACCATCAGGAAGGGCAGGCCTTGGCCCAGGCGTTGCAGGGAGCGCCAGGGGAGCGTGGCCAGGATAACACAGATGCTAGCCAAGATTTACATGCCAGGGAGAATTGTGTTTCAATCACCAGCTGCCGGCTCCCTCCTTTTCCTCTTCCCCAGTGGAAAAGAGGGAAGCATAAGGCCCTGGAAAACTGATCCAATTTGCAAATCTGGCAATCTAATACTTTTTTAAAATTCTGGAACTCTGTGGCTTTTGGAAAATGCTCTGCAATTTAGGTTACAGGAACAGATATTTAAGACCAGCTACATCTGCTATAGGGAAATCATAGCAACTCAGTGCTTAGTTCTCTATTAGAAGTTTCTCCTCCCTTGTTGAAAGGGAGTGGACTTTTGTGGGTATTGGGCAGGCTGATTTAGCTTGGTGATAGCAACTGTTCCTGGGATGAATCGGGTATTTAGGAGGCAACTTAATCTTTTCAGGCCCTGACTCAGTGCACTGTACTAGTTGGTTCCAGATCGAGGCAGTTAATAAGGGGGTGAGACTTAGTAACTGAATGGTTAATGAGCCTCCCTTAGTATGTGACACCTAGGGAGGGACTCATGTATTAGAGGGACTAGAGCTGTCTCCATATCTTTCCACTATTTCCCAATGTTGACTTTTTCATCAGAGTTAGCGAGAATTATAATGTCCCCAAAACGTCATGTTTGGGCCTTTTGCATAGGCCACCAGCCAATACTGTCCACTGTTCCCATCTTCCCCCAGCCTCTCCTGAGACAGTTCTTGATTAAATTAATATTCTCTCTGTTGACCTACTTAGTGACAACAAAATCACCAGTCAATAGAAGTAGAGCTATAAGGAGGACCCTACTCTGGGAAGAGGAGTATTCTCTAGATGCAGAGGAATGACAATAGCTAGGTACAGTCCTCAGTTACACAGCAAGGGGGGTGGTTCTCCACTTGAAAAGAGAATGGTACCACTTTGAGGGAGAGGTAATATTCAAAACATTTGACAACCAGGATGGCGTGACCAATTGGAACACTGATACCAGCTGAGGATCAGTTCAGTTTTTGAGGTTGCTACTACATTTTGGGAGAGACCTGAAGATAAACTTCTCTTACCTACGTCAATAATTTTACATTAACTCTCTAGCTCACAGCTGTTCTCATCTGTGAGGAAGCCAGAGGAGGCTGTTTAACTTGGCTAATGGAGGAAAAAATCCAAATTCATCCAGTTAAAAGCATGGAGCAGTGTCCACATTCAAGGGAATATATCTTCAGTAAGGCCCCTTTATTTGTTTGTCCCCTAGCAGTTCATATTTATTCTAAATTCCTGGAGTAAATGGCAGACGACAACTAAGAGACTCAGAGGCAGAGAGAGAAAGAAAATGATCTGAAGTCATTCCCAATTTCTTTCTCTTTTAAAATTATAAATCCTGGACACTCTTTACTAAAATTCACCAACCTGTATGAGTCAGCTGTGTTTTAGAAAAAGCTGGGAAATATGATCTCATGCCCAGTACTGACCCTGTGGTGATGAGCAATTTCCTGGTCTCCTCTGACTCTATTTTCCTGTCTGTGAAGTTAGGAGAGACAGAGAAATCAAGCCCCTCGACATCATATGCCAGGAATAAGTCATCAGGATTCTCAGCAGCCCTGCATTTAGAGAATGAGGGTCTGGGTTCCTTGAAGTGTCTATAACAACATTCTCTTGCTGCATGATTATGCATCAGGATCCGTCTTGTGAAACTGACCTGAAACACCCGGGAACTGTTCTCCCAAATCTTAGAGATAACCAGTGTTTAAGATCAACTGCTCTCCTGGAAACGCTTCATCAACCTTGACCTGCCCAGACGAGAGGAGGAGTAAATAGGCTTGTATGCCTGGCAAGGTTAGAAGCACATTCACAAAATGGCGACATCTGTGTGATCTGATGACCCAACGTCATCATCAAATTGTGATTGCAGGCTTCTTCTCAACAGAACAACAGTGGGATTCTCTCTGGAAATGATTTATTTCCTAAGCTCTACACGGCTCTGCCTTCCCATGCTCTCTAGTGTCCTTGGCCCCTCTCACCTGGGGAGCCTAGCTTTGATACTCTCCTTGGCTCCTCTTGGGGAGTAGGAAGGTAAGAGGTGAAAGTGAGCCCACGTTTGACCATCCTCTGCCCAGGGGCCTCCTCCATCCTCCTGTGCAGGGTTCTGCTCCTGGCTTTAGCCCAGTACACAGCCCCTCCCCTTAGCATCACTGGGGTACCACCACCCTGGAAGGAAGTTCCCTGGAGTATTTGTGCATCATTTGCTTCAGTGGTTCTTGTCCCTGGCTGTGCATCAAAGCAATCACCTGGGGAGTTTCTTTTTTCTCTTTTTTCATTTGTTTGCTTGTTATTTTAATATCACTCCAGACCAATTGAATTAGAATTTCTGAGGGGTGGGAGCTGAGAGTCTGTATCCATTCCAGCTGCTTCTGATGCATAGGGGGATTTGAGGTCTGCAGATCCATGTTTTCAGCATTCCATTGCTCTTTCCACATCCCCTTGCACACTTCTGGTACTGTCCATCACCAGCCTATAACTTTCCCTTAATAAAGAAACTATGTAGAAGAAGAATCTTGAGGGGGATGCGTTTAGGAGGCAATCCACCAATAGTAGATGAATGAATGGATTAATGGGAGTAGGGACTCAGAGGTGATCTACCCAATAATTTTTTATGCAATTCAGTAGCCAAGGCTGTTATTTGAGACTGTGTTCTATATCTCATGTAGCATCAAATGTGTTGCATGCTTATGGACCAAGCACCATAGGGTGCTTTCTATAGGCCCCAAGTTGTGCTATGCATTCACAAGTTGAAACAAGTCACGATCTTTGACCCCAAGAAGCTCTCAATCTCATTGGGAAGGCATGAAACCTACAATTAAAGAAACATAGACTGAAAGGAAAACATAAGCTTAAAAGACACTATTTACTAAATGCCTACTGAGTACCAGGCACAGTGTTAAGTGCAATAAATATGTTAATTCACTTAATTTGCTTCTCACAATAACCCTGTGAGGTAGGTATTTCAATCTTAATTCATAGACAAGAAAATGAAGGCCCAGAGAGGATACAGAACTTACCCAGGCCAACCAGCTAATAAGTAACAGAAGGAGCTCCACCCCCAAGTTAGCCTGTCTCTGAAGTGAGCAGCAGTGTGCAAGTGATAAGCATGACTGGAGTTGAGGACAGGAGGAAGTTGGGTGAGCTTTGGAGTGACCAGGGTCCCTGGCCAGACCCTGAAGGATGGGCAACGCTTCAATGTGTAATGGAGAAAGAGAAGAGAATTTCAAGCAAAGGAGAATAGCATAAGCACAGTCAGTTGTCTCTGTTTCAAAGGAAACAAAGCAGTCAAAGGGTGATGTTTAGCAGTCCCTCAAGCCACTTGTGGAAGTTTCCTGGAGCAGCTTGTCTAACCACTGTGACGTAGGCTCAGCTATGGTTCTCGGGAGGGCATTGTTCTCCTGAACAATCACTGTCACCAAAGAAGGCATTGTTATTTTTGCTGTGACTTGGAAAGAGAATGAATTTGATGGCATTAGGGCTCGGGTGATTCCCTCCTTCGTGTAGCCGACTGTAGTGGAAAGAGCACCGGCTTTGGAGTGAAACAGGCTTGTATTCTGATTCCCGCTCTGCCACTTCATAACTATAGGCAAGACACTTAACCCCGCTGAGCCTCAGTTTCCCAATGTGATAATGGGGATCACAGTACCTGCCTTGCAGCATTGTTGTAAAGATTAGAGATCATGCCTATGTCATGGTTGGAATTTGCTATGGGCTATGTCCCTCCAAAATTCATATCTTC